TGATGGCTAGCCTGAAGGTGTTTGGTTGTCACGCGTATGTCACGGCGCCAAAGGAGAAGCGTACCAAGCTCGATGCTCGATCGGTACGCTGACGTTTTTTGGTAATTCGGATCATGAGAAAGCATATCGGTTTGAAGAAGTGGAGATTTGCCGCGTACTGGTAAGTTGTGACGCACAGTTCATGTAAAATATCTTCGACACAGGAAGACGCAACTTATGTTAGCAGAAAGTGGTCATTGAAGATGAAGAGGCGGAGGATGATGAGTCCCAGCAAGAAGAGATAGAAGATGCTGCGCAAGACGTCGACTTAAATATCTACCGTAAGATACATACATCAACGGATGCAATCATTGGAGAATGCTACAGACGCTCCAAGCGCCAAGCGGTCCTTATTGTACAAGAAGCATTAAGGTCTTGATGAGATTTCAGCGACAGCTCAAGATGGTAGAAGTTATAAAGCTGCTTAAGTCATGGAATCAGTGGGAGATATATTCCGACTAGTTTTAAACCGGATATGGAATCCAGTGACGCAGTGAAGTGAAAGGAAGCGTGTGACTCGGAGTGTGGTTCTCCCCGCAAGAACGATACATGGAATATCGTACTGTTGCCAAAAGGACGCACGGCAATCGGTTGTAGATGGGTGTTATGTGTCAAGGAGACCCAAAAAGGCATAGTTGAGCGGTCCAAGGTACGTCTGGTGGCCAAGGGATTTTTGCAAAACTATGGAGTCGACTATAAGAGACTTATGCGCCGGTGTCCAACTTCACGTCGATCCGGATTGGGTTGAGTCTGGCTGAAAAGTGTACGCTCACGTTGCATCAGATGGATGTAAAGATAGCGTTCCTGGATGGTATTTTGTATTTCAGATATATGCATGGCACAACCGGATGGGTATGTTGACGCTGATCTTTCAGAATACGTGTGCAAGCTCAAGCACTCACGTATGGACTGAAAGAGTCGCATCGCATGTGGAAACAGGCCATCTAAGAGTTCATGGTGAAGATGGGTTTCGTCAAGTGTGAATAATATCAATGATTGCATGTGAAGAGGGATAACGATGACATGATCCTTGTGGTACTGCATGTGGACGATCTCATGATCGCAAGCGGCAACGACAAGTTTCTTACGTCGGCCAAGCGTGCGCTGAGTGATCGATTTGTGTGACGGATATCGGTGAGCTGAAGTATTTTCTTGGTGTGGAGATCAAGAGCAATCATGCGGCTGTATATGTGACAAAGCGTCAAACCAAGTTTCTCAAGTCGATTTTGATCAAGTTTGATATGCATGACAGCAAGCCTGTGAAGACACCCCAAGATCCTGGACTCAAGCTGGTCAAGAACATGTGTGAATAAGGATGCAATCATGAAGACACGGTGAATAACGTGACCTATCGAAGTGCCATTGGAGGCATCATGTACTTGATGGTGGCGACTCGTCCAGACCTTGCTGTGGCAGTGGGGCGTTGAGTTAGTCTGCTGCTGATCCGTTCCCAACTCACTGGCAAGCCCTCAAGCGTGTACTGCAGTACCTTTAAGCAACAACAACACATGGAATCAAGTTCTCGCTTGATGATAATGATACACTAAGAAGGATACTTAAATTTAGATTGGGCCGGTGACGAAGAGACGCGACGGAGCACAAGCGGGTGCGCCTTCATGATGAATGACGGGTGCATCAGTTGGAGGAGGAAGAAGCAACGCACGGTGGCGCTGTCGTCAACAGAGGCAAAGTATATGGCGCTTACAGAAGTAGTCCAAGAAGCGGTTTCGCTCAAGGCATTCTTATGTGAGCTGGGTGAGATCAAGAGCGGTGAAGCTGTCAAGGTAAATGAAGACAATCAAGGTGCGGTTGCATCGGCCAAGAACCCGGAGTTCCACAAGAGGACCAATCATATCGGCATTCGCTATTATTTTGAGCGAGAAAGAATTGAAGATGGCCAAGTAGTGCTGCAATATCATTCGACAAGGGATATGAAGGCGGACATGATGACGAAGTCGATTCCTGCAGTTCAGTTCGAGCACCTTCAAAGCACACTAGAAATTCAAGCACCAAGAGCTGTTGAGTCGAGTGGGAGTGCTGGCAAAGAATTGCTCGAGGACGTCTCGAGCAGCAAGCAGAAACGGGTAGGTACCGGTGTCGTACCGGTATGACCTGCTGATGTCATGGGATGTCGTCATAGAATGACGTTATAGGGTGAAGGGCCGCGAGGTATAAAATCTTCTAGAAGGATCTAGAAGCTTTAAAAGCTTAGAGGTAGCTAAACAGTTAGTGAACTGAGTCCCTCATATATACTCACTTTGCATTTTGCTAAAACCATCGTTCTTACATTTTCTTAATACGCGTCAGAATATCCGCGAAAGTTAATCTTGTCCGTCGGTTGATAGCAAATTCCATGTGACCTGGTCTCTTGTAGGTAGCGAAAGATGCGTTTTACTGCATTCAGTGTTCTTGCTGGGGATTCTCCATAAAGCGAGACTCATAACTCACAGCATACGCGATATTTAGGCGCGTTGCAGTCATCAAATGCATCAAAGCACCAACCACTTTGCAAAACGGAGAATCCACCTTGGTCGCAATACTGCTGAGCACTAGTCGAGAGCTTAGATCGACCGGACTTATGGCAGTCTTACACTCGCTCATGCCAAAACGCTTGAGAATGTCATCGACATAGCGTCGCCGGCACATGGTGACACTACCATCAGTTCCATTAATCAGCTCGATGCCCAAAACAAATGTGCACTTGCGCTGTCGGTCATCTCAAATGCTTCTTGAGACACTATAATTAACTGAGTATAGTGACTACGTGGCTCTCTGCCACGATGCGACCCTTCGTACCTTAGGTACGGTCACATCGAGCCTACTATTGTACCCAAGGTACAGCCACACCACATTGGTGTGGCAGGTGTGTATGTAAATTACACGCCTTTGTGTAACCCCGTTACATCGAACTACTAATTTAGCCTTTTCCATTGGTGTGGCAGGTGTGTATGTACAAAACACATCTCTGTATAACCCCGTTACACTGCCAAACGTCGACTAAATGGTCTTCGTATAAAGCTTAAAGCAGCCTACACAACAGGCAACGCCAGACATTTGACGCGCTACCAGTTTTAATCTGTCAAAACTTTTGCTAGGAAGCATTAGTATCAAGACAATACACTTCTTGTCCAGAAATTAATGTTATTAATTTTTTCCGCTTCTCATTTTTATGCGGCCTAATGAAAGCAGTGCACATGTTCATTTAATGCGTTCGAAAGGCCAATCGGCACATGAAAATTGTACGCTAATGCATAATAGAAAATGGATTTATTGTTATCATCACTATGTATTCTCAACGTCACAGTAATCAAATCTGACGATCAGACATGCCACTAGGTTCCTGCGTGATACTGTTAAGCACAAAATTTACAAAATTCTTTCCCTCCTCCTCCTCCATCCAAATTACTTTTTCATCTACCTAGTACTTCCACCTAGCCGACAAAGCACATTCGCGCCAAGTTTCCGTTGCTAACGTGCATATTCAGGGTACATTCTTTCCCTTTTACAGAGGGGTTTAACTTTTGGCCAATTTCTTCGAATTCTGCGTTTGAAGATATTTAATAATGCTCGCTGGTAGCACTTTCCTCAAGATGCTCTCATATTCTTCAATATTTAATCTGTTTAACGCACGACCAAATTGTTTTGCGAAGTTGGCCGGTACAAAATTGATCTTCTCAGTATTCGCGGTGCGATACAAATTTGCCAGCCTGTCTAGTTCATGTCCAAGGCTGATCAATCTCGGCAAAGCTGGAGTAGCTGGGGGAAAATCGGCGTCTAGAGTAGCTGGGAATGAATTGAAGTCGATTTCTGAAGTAGCTGGATATGAATTGAGGTCGATTTCTGGATTTGCTGGGAACGCATTGAGGTCGATTTCTGGAGTAGCTGGGATCTTGTTGTCGTCAATTTTTTTTTCCTGCCACTATACTTCGTCTTGTACGAATCCCCGTACTTCAACTGTAACGGGGTTACACGAAGGTGTGTATTTTACATACCACCTGCCACACCAATGTGGTGTGGCTGCACCTTGGGTGCAAGAGTAGGCTTGATGTGACCGTACCTGAAGTACGAAGGGTCACATTGTGGTAGAGAGCCACGTGGTTACTATACTTTTTTATGTATAGTGACTATGCATGTTTGCATAGTAATAACAGGCTATAGAGCCAGTAAATAGTGACTAGCCATAAGTATAGAGTGGGTGCTTCTATGTTTAGTGTTAAAAGATAAATAAAAATCAGTTTCAAACCTGCTCTATAAGCCTTGCAGCTTGAGCATTCTATTTCTCCTGAGGAATCAGTATCGTTGATACTAGTCTCTCTGAGACGCGGTTGTAACAACCGATTAGCACAAGCTTACGAGTTAGCCTTGGAGGGTTAAACACTCTAAGACGTAGAAGCTCTCTGAGCTTGTCTTCCTCTGCACATAGTGCACAAGTAGCTTGGCTACAGTAGCTCGGCTACACTGGAAGTATCGTTCTTTGTTAAGGAAACAGTACCTGCTAATGCTGGTCTCGCTGCGACAGTGGTTATAATTAGAAAGGCATGAGCTTGTGTAATTTGCCTTGTGAGGGTTACAAACCCTAAAGACGTTGAGTTCATAGAGCTTGTCTTCCTCTGCACTAAGTATATGTAGTAGCTTGGCTACAATTTTTTTTCGATATAAAAATCTTAATTTCAAAATTAATAAATTCTATCAGATTTTTTGAAGGCCGCCCAAATAGTACATTACCTTAATCGAAAGTTTAATGATAGAGCTACCGATTAATCCCTAAAATAGAATTACGTTCATCCAAAAACGGCATTGGCCTTGACCCTCCCTATGCAAGAATGCATGGCGATTAAGGATTGGTCGATAAAATGCTTCTCTCTGACTGGATTTTTTATCTGATTGTGTTTGTATTAATTTTTTTCTAGACAAAGTGCAAAGCAAGCAAAAAGACTTCTGTCACTTCCTCAGAAATCGTTATGGAGCTGCATGTGCGCGCGTGTTCAGCACGCAACTTGCTGGACAAACAAACTTTTGGCAAGCAGGATCCTTACTGTAAACTCACCTTACGCAATAAGAGTGTTAGGACGAGAGTACACAACAATGGACGTGAGTAGTAGCCCGTTTCTCTCTCTCTTATTTCTCGCTTACTTTTGACGCTTTTTCTCTCTGTATTAACATCTTGTTTAGACAAAACGCCCGTGTGGAATGAAGTGTTTGTTCTACCAGTTGTTGATTCGCACCTTGATGAGCTCGTGATTGAAGTAAAAGACAAGAATTTCACGTCGAGCACCTTTATAGGCGACTGCTGTCTGCCCGTGAATATGTTCCTCAGTGGCAACGTCACAGACGAGTGGTACACGCTTTACAATGGATCCAAGCACGCGGGAGAGATTAATCTGCGTGTACAACTCAGAGGACCAGATACGCAGCACACAGTGCCGGCACCTGTGGCTTCTACTGAAAGGGCATCTCAGCACACCTCGGCTCAGGCCTATCCGTATCCGCAGCAGCCAAGCTACGCGGCCCCGCAGCAATACCCATCTCAGCCATATAACCAGCAGCACGCGATGGCGGTTCCTGTGGCTTCTACTGAAAAGACACATGAACACGGCTCGGCTCAGGCCTATCCGTATCCGCAGCAGCCAAGCTACGCAGCCCCGCAGCAATACCCATCTCAGCCATATAACCAGCAGCACGCGATGGCGGTTCCTGTGGCTTCCACTGAAAAGACACATGAACACGGCTCGGCTCAGGCCTATCCGTATTCGCAGCAGCCAAGCTACGCGGCCCCGCAGCAATACCCATCTCAGCCGTATTACCAGCAGCAACCACCTCCTCCCCAGTATTTACAGCCTCCACCGCCTCAATATGCACACCCAACCCCGCTACAGTACGGACAACAGCCGTACTATCCGCCGCCTCCCTCAGCCAACCCAGCCTACGGCTACCCAGTTCCTCCTTCGGCCCCTGTGGCTTACGCAGCTGGGCCCCCGATGATGGTTGCACAGGATGGACACCATCATCGACACGGATCTTCGCAGCGACACGGAGGTGGCAGTGGCTTTGGTGGTGGAATTCGTGGGGGTGGTATGAGCACGGGTCAGATGGCTATGGGTGTCGGTGCCGGTCTTCTTGGTGGCATGCTGCTGGGCGAAGCTCTGGATGACGTGTTTGACTAAGCTGAATAGTTCATTCTATATCGCCAACATTGAACTGAAGCTTTCAAGCGGACGAAAACGAGGTAACAAAGATAACATTGAAATAGATTTGATTGCATGTTGTTTGTACTTTAAGCTTCTCGTGCCAGTGTTTGATGCTTGCTCGAAATTATCGTCGCGTTATTCGCTAGGTAGTAATTCAATGAGCCTTTGTTCTTACTATAGGCGCGACTATTTCGACTGGACAGCCATAACTTTAGGCCGCTTGCTTCCAAGGTAGCTGCACTGCTCCAATCTTGAACCTCAATCCTAATCTTTCAATTACACTTGTTGTACCTTTCGTAAGCAACAATGGCAATCCATCCACTGCTCAAGATTATTGCTGCTAGATCAAATGCCTTATAGATCAGCTGAAGACTACATGACTTTGCATGATAAGATATTTCGTATTACTGTACACCGTGCTAAGTCCAGAGGTTGCCACGACGCTACTATGGTATTGTCACGTCAGCCATGCAGCCGCTTTTTCAATGCGTCACGTTGTATCTGCTTTCATCTAAGACGTCCTGCCGCTTGTAATCTTCCAGCATACGTCTGGACGGGCTTGTTGCCTAAAACCCACGCGACGTACTGGACCGTTGTGCAAAAGTTAGTCATCGCATCAGAAGACAGCTCACTTCTCCTGTGTACTGACGTTGTTCACAACCTTGCGCTGTTGGTGCACAATCTTCACAAAAAAGCTGCGTTGCTACATGCTGTCTCCTTGTGCAAAACGTAGTATCAGCGCGTGTCCTTTTGTTTCTTCTCGCATGAGTTTCTAAACGCTTCTGGACAAAGAGCACCCAGCAGCAGATCTACTTGTTGAAAACATATGCCTTGACCTGGTCCATGTCAATCTCATCTCTCCTTGCAATATTTTCGCGTCTCCAAGAAACACGACGCAGTTGTGACTGTAATGCCGCTTGCAAAACACTTGGCCAATGATAGAGTTACTATCTGGCAGATTGACCGCAACTTCTTGCTGCGAGAGACTCACTTTACCATCAACTTTAATCTTCGTTGTGCTGGTTTTTCCACAATATAACACCCATCACCATAAATGTTGCATGAACGTAGCAGCAAAGCTTTAAACCCATAGACCATGGCGTCTTTTAAACTATAAGATCGTAGGCTTAGCCTCAAAGAAGATGATATTACAAAACTCGGTGCAGTAGAAACGCTTTGAACACGTACAAAGTGCCGTGGTAAAGTGCTTACGCGGTCAAAGTAGAGCTTGTGATCTACAGAATGTTTATAGCTGGATGTCAAGCAATTGAAAGGAAAATGACAGACGAGAATGATTGTATCATTCTGATTGATGCCAGAGAAGGGAATTCGATTGTTATATGAGTTTTTATTACAGATTGTGTATTTTTTTTATGTAGAGTACATGAAACGGAGGGATGGGGAGGGTTGACATTCACTCATCATACTTTATTCAAGATACTAACTGCTGTACATACGCGGCCTATAAAGGGTGAGGGGGTAGAATATTTTCTCCCGCTTTCTCCACTCACCAAAACACAATCAAAGGCTCAGCAGACTCAAGTGTTAGTGTCATTCCCTCTCTCTCTCTTTCGGTCCTATCAGTCAATTAAGTAGCTATGGTATATGTCTATTACATTTTCATGTCTATTTCGATGCTAGTTTCGCGTTTTTTACTTATTAATTACCTTGTATTTGTTCTATTTGTCTCTATACTCTGTAGTCTTCTGGTGTTGGTGTTGATGACGAAGTCATTACGCAATTTAACGATTTCAAGCTCAAACGTGCCCCACATGACTATCGCTACTTTATCTACAAGATTGTGGATGATTCGGAAATTGTGATTGAGTCTACAGGTCCCAGTAGTGAATCATATCAGGATATGGCCGATAAGCTGGCGCAGATCACGACCGAGTGCCGATACGCTCTTGTGGATTTGGATCTGACTACAAAGGATGGCCGCCCTACCAGCAAGATTGTTTTCCTTTCGTGGTACGTTACTAGGAAAGATGGCAGTAGCAGAAGCAGCTCTTTCTTCTACTGTGTGTCTCGCGTAATTGTAATGTGTAACTTTTGTCGCGTTTTGTGTATGTATAGGTCGCCAGATACAGCTCGTATCAAGTCAAAGATGCTGTATGCATCCTCTAAGGAGGCGATCAAGCGTGTTCTTATGGGTGTGGGTATCCATCTAACGGCTACTGACGCTTCGGAGTTGTCGCTCGAGTCTATTCAGGACGGTGTGGCCAAGTTCTTGTAGACGATTTGATCCGATTCGTTTTGGTAGATTTGATTCGCCCTCCGTCCCTTTCTAAAAGGGATGTTCGAGTAATCCCAGGCATTTGCATTTCTAGCTGTCCAACTGCTTTTATTTTCACCGCTCAGTGTACAGATACAGACAATATCCAGGTGTAATAGCATATTCTAGCCATTGGATGCACGATACACAGTGCGACACTCTTGCAACAATGTATCAGCGTGTTGTCGTCAGAACGCAACAATAGTGTATTTCTGTAGCAATAGTTTTCTGCTATTGCTACAATCCACAGGTTTCATTAATTCATGTATATTAAATATTTATGTCACAAAAGCGGGGATTGCTCGCTTCAATCATCACAACCGATGGAATGGCGTCTTCGCGTCGTAGTCTATTCCGTAGTTTTGCTGCCCTTCTTCGCGTGTGCTATGGCTATGGACTCTAATGACGCTGTACTGTTATTCTCTACCGCTCAGATTGCCGTACTTTTTCTTTTTCTTACTGTAAGTATCTTCCTCATGTCCATGTATCTACTCCCTCGCTGGTTGCTGCGCTTTATCGAGTGGAGCTCGCATCCTTCCGTCTTATGGAGCGCACGTACCTCATCCTACGTCTGCTCGCTGACTATTGACGATGCGCCGTCACCATCTACACCTGCGATACTTGATATTCTTCGCAAACATAATGTCAAGGCTACGTTCTTTATTATCTCGGATCACATTCCAGGCAATGAAAAGGTATTGCAACGTATTGTACAAGAGGGACACGTGCTGGGAAACCATCTTACAGAGGATCGAGCAAGTATTTTAGATGATCTTCACGTATTTGAGCAGAAATTACAGGAGTGTGATCGAGCCATTAACAAATACCAACCAGTAGTGGCGCCGTCCAAGCTGCTGGACATGCAGCAGGTGCTGCTCAAGGAGAAGGGATCAAACACTGTGCAACTCGTGGCAGGACGTAGTGAAGAGAAGAGGGAAAATGGTGCTGGATCTAGAGGCAAGTGGATGCGTCCGGCTTCTGGCTGGTTTACGACACCCATGAGAGAAATTACTGCACGTCATGGTTACCGCATCTGTCTTGGCAGTGTGTATCCACATGACGCGCAGATTCGATCGGAGACTATGAACTCGATTCATTTACGGACACGCACATCCTGCGGGTCTGTGATTATTGTCCATGATCGATCCTGGACAATTGGTGTTTTGAGTACAGCTTTACCTGTGCTTACACGCAAGTTTACGTTCGTGTCTTTGGACGAGCTCGTGCTGTACCATGAAGGCAAAACAGACAAGAAGTGATGAAGCCGGCTAATGACGCTATTGATACTTGAGCATTTGTAACCACGTGGATCTCATGTGATCAAGCAAAAGGTGGTGGAGTGGTGGTCATTCCATGTGGACAATAAAGATAGCTAACTACACGATCAGCACAACCCACAGGTGTTGAATAAGGCTTTTGACTTGACGGATTGGACTTGCTTAGCTTGAGGCAGTATAGAGTGCGGTGGTTGGACAGGAGGTGCTGGACGTTCCGAGATCTGCAAAAGCCATCGTGGAGCTGGACCGAAGATCAGTTGGTGTGGATGCTTGTTCCCTTGACGCCAGTAGCAGGTGTCACATAACGCATAGCGTGCGCAGCTTTTGCAGGACCAAAAGTCTGCGCGTGTAATGAGGAGGCTGCATTCACGGCAAAACACATTCAGCTGAACCACTTGCTCGTTAAAATAGTGATGCAACATCATCATAGTCGAATGTTTGGCACGACGCAGCGTGTCGAATTGGTAGCCGGCGTATGAACACAACTGGTGAAACATAAAACGGCTACCAAAGAAACGCGGGACTTGTCCGTACCAAGAAGGCACCAATGTCTCTGGGTGGCAGCCTTCTAGTTTTCTTTGTTCAGCAAAAATAGTGCCGTTGTCTCGCGCTTCGTCGTCATCCAGATCTTTTAGATTCACCACCAGCAGGTCTTGTTTTAGCCGCTGGACAGCGAGCTGGCATCTAGAAAACACCTCGCGCACCGTTGCATCTACTTGAAGAGGTAACGCAGTAGAAATCTCTTCTTTGATACGCGGAAATGTGCCGCCAAATGACACTTTGCCATCACCACAAGCGCATACGCTGTTTACGTTGCCAGCAGCAAGCTTCTTGTTTTGACAGGATCGCTTTTGTTTTTCGTTCCTGGACATAATGCGCCCGAGGATTCGATCTAATTCAGATGGAATGATGTCACCGTCAAAGATTGGTGGAAGTTGCTTCGCTGGCCAAACAAGCTCTTCGGAATTCACAGACTGCACTGTTGTACCGCGAGTCGACACCCCCACTCCATTTTTCTCTTTCGTTGACACGAAAGAAGTTGGCAGCTCAGAATTGCCACCAGGAGCGGAATCACACACACTATCGCTAAAATATCGGTTGTAAAGTGTAGTCCAGTCTTTGACAATTCCACGCTCCTTCGCTTTAACAAGCACCCTGTTATACCAACAGCGCAAATGCTCAGAACTGGGAGTCTTCTGAAATGCTGGGCGACACCAAAAGACATAGCTAATCCGTTTCTGCGGTGGGCATGACCAAATATGTACACGGCTGAAGCCGTGCCGCCGCAAGTAGTCGAAGTAAGCTAGCAAAATCAGGTGGTATGCCGCCGTCCGAGCACTTGCGGGCTTTAGATATCGAACACTGTCCAAATAAGCAATGTAAACGGCGCGTCGGTTTGCCTGCAGTTCGCAATTATCGCCGAACTCTTGCGCATAGATCGTAAAGAGGCAAACCTCCATACCTTCGTGCTTCTGAAAGAGATAGAGACCACGAGAGAGATAACTGATGTGAGCTGGTATTCGCTGTGAGCTAGTGTCAGTACCAGGACGGAGCTGAGCTAGCAGCTGCGAATTTGCATTGAACGTACGGACCACTCTCTCTGGAACAGCCATGCGTTCACCTGGAAATGATACTGCCCGTACGTATAATGTTCGAGCAGCTTCGTACTCACCGGCTTCGTTTAGCCCATGGCGCAAAAAATTCTGGATAAATATGCTTAATTCACAACTCGGAATATTGAGGCACGAACTGTTTCGAGCGTGCTCATCAGGATCGGCGTTCAAAATTTTGCGCATCATTGACTTAGGTGGTGGAGTAGCACGCTTGCGCCGGCACCGACACAAGGGACACACGTATGGATTCACTTTGGTGGACAAGCCTCCAGGCGGCGTGTTGTTCGGGCTCTTCTGAGATTCATAGGCACCGATCACCGGGTTATAAAGTCCACACACCTGGTGTAGCCACCGACCACACTCGCCGCACTTTACCCAGGGTTCCACACCAGGCTCAACTTTCTTCTTCATGAGAGAGGCAGGCAGTGCATCTGCGTCATCATTATGTGCACGATAGGTGGAGCTGCAATCTCTTACCATACGAGCTTTACACTTTTGACACCAAACACGAGTGCCATCCTGCGAAGTAAAATAGATTGAACCCTTACGAATTTCAGAGCTACAACCAGCTGAACACTGCAGGTTTGGTAGAGCAACTTCCAGGCATTGTTGGTGGCACACGATGCAGGTGTTCCCATGGCACACGAGACACATGTGTTCCACGCGTTGGCGCTTCGATTGTCTGTTCTGCTCGACTTTTACTGATTGATTAAAGCGTTTCAATAAGATGTCAGCGTCCACATGGATATAATGCGTCTCGGGATTAAAAAGCATCGCGTTTTCAAACACTAATCGGACGTCGGAAACAAAATCTTCCAGCTCAAGATATTCTCCAGCGGCAAGATTACGTTTGATGGTGCCAAGATCCATTGGGTGCTGCACAATAGTTGTGTATGTAGGTAGGTCTAGCGCCACTGAATCCACAGGCGTGTTAAACACACCGTGCCGATTCCGTGGGTCTGACATGAGCTTCAATAAAATATCTGTCACTTTTTCAAAACAGGCGAAGCGGCCCTCCCGACGAAGAGACGCAATGTGTTGTGATATCTCATCTGCTGTCATCTGAAACATCGGGTTGACTTCTACAGGATCCGACATTAATAATTTTTTACTCGGATCCTGTTCTCCGTAATGTTCAGGTGCCCGCCATCCAGTTGGCAAGCTCCGATTGTCACCCAGTGTCCAAATGTCAAATGACAGAGGCTCCATATGCTTCTGACTGATACTCTGGCCACTCGGTCGCTTAGCACGTACGACTTGACGCGGTGCCACAGACGTTAAATTTACCTCATCGATTCGACGCTGATGTTTTCTTGGCAAGAACGCAACAGGGTCATGGCCAGGATTCATAACATTGCTGAGAGTCATACCATTGCTGCATGGTGCGCTAAGTGGCCGTTTCCGGACTTCGCCCCGAGGAGATTTCGTCTGTATCGCCTTCATGCTCTTTTTGGGACTCCTCACCCTAGATTGAATACCTTCCCCAGCCAACCTGTTCGCTAAAGCTACCGCAGTTTTCTCAGATGTTGAGCATAAAGACAATGCTGTTCGTTTGGTAGCAGTGCCAGAGTTACTATTGGCAACGCACATATTGTGGCTTTGCGACCGCTTTCGCGCAACGTGCAAAGGTCGTACTGTGATTGTAATAGGACGAGGCAACAGATCTGGTCGAGGCATGGGGCCAGACCTCCAGCGATGTGGAGGTACGGGACAGCTAAAGACGATTTTCGTCCATTCGGATTGCACGAGACGTTCGCTAGCTAGACCGGCCTCTACTGTCGAGCGGAGTTTGCACCAGAGCAAATACTCGACAAACCTTGACACAATCTCATTTTTCACATCCACTCCAGTCGAAATAAGGCCTTGATCATACACAAGACAGCACAATGCACACAAATTGCTATCAGCGATAGCATCAACTTCTACACAGTCAGTCAGTAGAACGAGCACGTACCAACGATGAGTCGAAGAATACTAGCACTAGGTGTCTCTCGTTCTCCATAAAATAAAAGAAATGCTGCATCCTCTTCTCCAAGCCGCCGCTTTCGCACTCCTGACACGTGATAGCGGTCCCAGACGATGTTTTGTCTTGCCATAACCTGCCGTTGCTGTTTCTTCTTCTTCTTCTCCATACCATCCATAGCTGCCACTGTTACTCTCTTTTCATCCACCACTTGTACCTGTTGCTGCTCTTCCTCTTCTTCCACCCCCAGGACCTTTAAATTTCTCTTCATTTGATCATTTTTTTCCACTACTACATCATTGTCTTCCTCTTCTTCACTACTACTATCAATAGTAAACACTTCTGGCTTTTGTAACCTCTTCTGTTTATTAGAAACCTCTGGGATCTGCTTTCCACGTGCCTGTTCATCATCATCTTCACTACTGATACTCACATAAACTTGTCCATCCTGTATCGTTTCATGCCAATTAACATCCAATGATCGTTTGTGAACACGTCGATGTTCTGTTTTTCGTTCATGATTCAGACGTGAACACGCTAAGAGACGTCCTGCAACCTCTTGCACTTCCATCTCCTTGCTCTGTAGCTTATCCTTTCAAGGTCGGATTTTCATTGGTCATAATCAACCCAACCGATTGGCTAATACAGAAAGGTATATTGCATCAAATCGTTCAAAATGGCTACATGATAAACATGAGATATATGGCTACATCTTGCCTGTTTCTTTTCCCAAACATAAAAGCAACTGTCTCATACCTTTTCAAAGCGCGCGTAAAGTTACAAACATTCTTAAACGAAACGTCTAACAAAAACAACATTCGTTAGTTTCAGAAACACCACGTCAAAGTAACATCACGTCCTCAACCACTTCTTCTTCTTCTCTCTCTTCAATGGAGACACCACCAACATCACCCTGGACCACAAGGTAGTCCATGTATGCAACATGATTGTAGTGATCAATATAGTATTCCCATACACACATCATCATGCCAATGTTGTATTAGGTCAAAAGGAAACAGAACGGAAACGATTACGTATGTATAAAATTTAATCAAGCACTACAAATTAATTCCTTAAAAGACTAATTATTCCGTTTAAATGCCGGTATTTGATTTGTAAGTGAAGATTTAGAGTTGAAATTGATTCAATTACGGTCAATTTTGGACGAACGCAAGCGTGACATACGACAACGTGCTTTCGCTAGGACAAGCAGAGATAAAACATTGGCAAGCTGTGAGTACTGAACACGAGGACAAGATGACGGCGTTGCAACTGCAGATGGAAACGATGAGGCGCAACTTGTTGGCGTGCGATGGCGCGCAAAATTATCATCCAGGAGCATGCAAGACATAAAGGCCGACATTGAGGAACGGCGAAGGAGAAACACAATGTTTTTTGGCGCGTGGTATGATTGCGTTTGCAAAATTGAAACCTAATGGTAGACGTAGCAGAACAGATCAAGCAATTGATAGCTCAAGGGATAATCGACAAGTGGCGCTTGTGGTGGAGCTGCGATCGCTGGATTCTTGTGATCAAAACTTCTCACTGGTGCCTAGACAACCAAATATTGGAGGGGGTACTCCGTTTCTGTGCACTTGTGGTGAAGCGCTTCAAGAGCTGGAAGGCCAGAGGACCAGTCGGTTAAAGAGAAATGGACTTGCCAAAGAGGAGCGACCACGGGTAAGGGATAGAGAGAAGGAGCGCTCAAGGGGACGGGGAACGACCGTTGGATGAGAAGGGTTCACGATCAAAGCTAGCTAGTTAGTCACCAATTAATGGAGTTAACCGCGGTTAGCCTGATGGACCGCGATTCTTCAAGGTGGAAACTGGTCCTTCAAAGTCTACCCTGGTCTATAATTGGTAGACTCGGCCCCGGTCCCTGAAGGTCGACCTTGGTCCTTCATCAATAGACCTCGGTCCTTTGTCGATAGATCCTGGCCCTTCGGTTGATAGACTCTCGACCCCGGTCCCTGATGACGCCCTCGGTACAGAGGTCCAAATACCCTAGCCAGTCAGAGTCAAGTATCAGGTCTCAGGGTAAAGATAGAGTAAAGGAGTTAAAAGATAGGACCATATTAAATACTACTCAATTTGCGATCTATATAGCACACCTCCGTCGTGCTTCCAAGGTACTTACTAAGTCTACCCACCTGTTCCGGAAAAGGGATACATTCTGGCCCCCGGTCGAAGACAGTTGTGTGGTAAGACCCAAGTGCGAATAGAACCCCAGGATACATTTGGCCTGTGGTTTCGTCTGAGTAGCCCCCCCCCCAACTCAACCCGCTATCGGAAGTGGTCTTCCTACCCTAATGGTCCGGGAGCAAGTAAAGGCCAGGCGGTTAACACCCCTGAGACATCAGGGAAGGAAAAGGCCAGGGCTGAGAATCTCTCCTAAAGAATTTGGTTATAAGTCCACCCTCGACCTAGTCGACCGAGTGGCCACCTATCCGCCTCCCGAGTGAAGCATACCCACTCGAGGCACCCAAGGTCTACCTCTCTCAAGGTCGACATCACATCTTAACCAAGGCCTCGAAGAGTGCAACCCGCCAGCCGACGGGTACACAAGGTGAGAAAAGATCTATACGCGGCACCCCCTCCACCAGTCGGCAGTCCGGCAAAGTGAGTAACTTGGGGCCTCATTACGCAGTTTTGAGAACCCACTCCACCACACACTCTTCTTGATGAATTGTGTGATATCGATCTTGATCGGGTTGAGGATTGGGGGGACGATCGTGCGGAGTCCTTCACATGATCGCAGTTGTTCTTGGGGGTACTGTAGTAGCTACTCCGGTCTCCCTTGAGATAGCCTTGTCTTATATGTAGATCCTTGAGCCGCTTGACCTGCTTGAAATCTTCTGACCACTTGAGTCGTCGAGTGGCATCTTGCTTTACGTGCTGCGCTGTGCCCAATCGCAGTTGGAAGTCGCTTGAGAATGTAGATCTTGATCCCTGGCAAACCAACAATTCAGGGGAGACCTCCTGCCAACGCTGTCGTTTTTCTGACGTCGAGTGGACTATATTCCAGCTTTAAAGACAAAGTCAACACGTGTCGTAGAAGTAAATTTGAGCTCTGTCATATGTTAGCTAACTAAAGCCAAAATCTGCGATAATACATATCTGTGTACCAGAATACGTTGCATCGTCCTTACCGTAATGATTTTCCACTTGGATCTTTTTCTCCGTATCAGGCACCGATCGACTAAGGTCGATCAACTTTAGCAATCGACTTTTGGGCCAGACTCAAATATGTAAATCACACTGAATATGTAATCCACATGTTCCTGGCCGAGTCACTTGCTCTCTCTTTCCCACGTGGCTTATCAGTCCATCATAGCGGTCTTGTGTTTCAACGAAAATTCAGGATCGAATCTCACACATTTAGTCAAACGATCCCATACAACGGCCTATGAAGAGCTGAAGAAATATCTAGCTGGCTTTGTAAAAGACCGTGAAGTCGCCGTCGAACCCATTTCTTAGCTTGAGTCTGATCTGCATCACTGACGCAAGCTGGAGCATGAACATGAACTGACGATCAAGATTCTGCAGAGTCAGGTGAAACATGCTAAGGCCAAGGCATGTAGAATGAAGGAACAATGTGAGGTGACTGAGTTGCGCTGCGAGAATACGTCGAGCAAGCGGCTACTAGCGTTGAAAAAAAACTGCTATGTCATGAAACAAGATAACTCTCAACTGCTTAAAGAGTTGCCAAGCATTTAGTTGGAGCTTGAGGTCATAAAGCATAAGCTTTAGGATAGTGAGATAAGGTTTGCGAGCAAGGATGCGAATGCAAGTAACGAAGCCATCTTCTTTTTGTTGTGTCAAGTAGACCTGAAAAGGTGACCTGCTCAATTGCACGAGAATCAAAAATAGCTTATACATGTAGCCGAGCTACCGTAGCCAAGATATTATACGCACTAAGTGCAGAGGAAGCAAGTAGAGCTTGCTCTACGAGCTTTACGACTTGTAGTTCTTATCCGTCACATGGCTAGCTTTGCAAGCTGATACCTTCTTGGTTGTTCACAACGTCTCCAAGACCAGTATCAGCAGATAGCACCAATATATAATCAGCTAGTCGCTATATTTAACTGACTACTTAGTCTTTCCTCCTATGTGTCACTACAGTACTATGCTCTGCCTCAGGGTGTGAATCTAATGACCCAAAGTACAACCACACCAAAATGGTGTGGCAGGCGTGAATATATCAAGGATCTAAGCGTTAGCTGGCAGAAGCACGAGTAGCACGAGAACAGCTGGGGAGGGAATGACAAGAATAGTTTGCTGCGGAGAAGAGTGAACTATAACGACAACTGAGCGATGAATTATTTCAAGACCGAGGCAACAGCAATGCAGACATGCTGGAAACAAGAGATATCGATGATTAATCAAAGCGCTATAGCTACTCAATGACGCTGTAGTCAAATCAAGATGGACGCCTTGCAATATCACGAGATGGATACAAAACAGTCTTTTGAGACGACATGGTCGATCGAGTTTGAAGATTTACACAAGCGGTAAGAAGAAGAGGGACGATTGCTTGAAGGATGCGCTTTCTCGAGCATATTGCACCATTCAGGCACGTAAGCGAAGCTCTCGTGAGGAAGCACAGTATGACGTTGACGTTTTGAAGAAAGTAAGTAATTGATTCTTGTTTGAGGAGGTTCAGGAGCGCCGGAAATGTGCCGAGCATGCTTGGAATTAGTACAGGCAAGCGGCATCGAGAGAACAAAGAGCTACTGAAGGTGATTGCAACGTACAAAGATGCCATTGCTGGCCGCGATAAGGGCATCGAAAAGTACAAATTTGCTGTGATGAAGTACGCACAGCAGCGGAACAAACATCCCCAGTACATGATTACGGAGACATAGAAGCGGTGGGAGGACATTCCGGTTGTTCGTGGCCCTGTAGTCACGCTTCAGACAAGGAGGAAAGACCCGAGGTGACTATCTTGCAGCTGGATGCATTGCTCGGCCAAATGCACGTAGTGTATGGGCGCTGCGGTGACTTCATGACGCAATCTCAAAAGCTCACTGACAAAACGGTAAAAACAATGCTTGAAAGTCAGCGTCTCGTGGATATGATTACACAAAGGAGCAGTCTCGTTGGGTCGACGATGATGGCCAAAAATGCTCTCGACTTCTCACTGAGGCTGTGCGTATTTCTGAAGCAATGCGCGATGTGGTCAACAACATCGTAGGTGTTCTCAGAAGGAGCAAAACGAAAAGAAGTGCGCCAAGATGGAGGGTGTCGTTTCTGTAGACAACAATCTCTGGGAGCAGCAACGAGATGACGTTGTTTTCACTGTGATAGTGATCAATTTGATGGCAAACTGCGATCGCAACGTGCTAGCCGACAGAAGTTTAAAAGCTCAATCAAGCAGAATAGATTTGATACGCCGTGCCGCAACCCCAAGGCAGCACCTTTACTTGTTGTACTGAAAAAAGCTGTATGGCAGCTCTATGTCCTCGCTAGTACGCGTGGCGTGAAGGTACAAGATTTGAAGACCAAGATACGGCGTGCTCATGATAAGAATCTTGATGAAGAATTGTCGGGCTTCCAGATGGATCTCGAAGTCAGGGCGCATAAGCTTCAGGATAGCGAAAAGATGTTTTCGAACGTTCATTACGCGCTGATACACGTTTTCCAAGTTTGCTCATGAAAAGCCTCGAAGATGTGGTCCTGTCATGGCATCGCTGTTGTTTCTGCTGTGCTTGACATCTCATGACTTGTGGATGCTAACGATACATAGTATGCCAACGACTCTAGGGACAAAATTATGCTGATCAAAGCGCTAGTGCCGTAGTATGTGTTCATAATGCCTTATAAAGACAACAGGAGATATCTAATAATCTCGACAGATTATTTCTTCCTTTACCAAACCCGTCACTTCGTAAAAGTATAAAACACGTCTTCGAATCGATGAGCTGCTGAGCTGGATACGAAACGTTCAAGTCAATAAGATTTGATTTGATCCATGCCACGCGGGACTCGCTGAGTCAAGCGCTTGATAGATAATGCCCTTGCAAAGCGATGACACCACCAGAATCAAGTGTTCATTCAATCGGGCAATAGTACACTTAAATTTCATTCCAGAAAAGCTAAGCCTCTGGTGACTTTATCACGTTCCTACTAAACTGTACTTTCACTCAACGCCTGATCCTTCATCTCCATCGTCAACATGTGGATGGTCTGTATTCTTGAGAAATTCCATAAGCTTGCTTGTGCCTAATGTTTACTCATGTCACTCGTCCTCGTCCATACCTACGTCATCGTTGATGTGCCATTGTTCTCCCTCGGGCATGAGGTTGATGCTTTTGACACGCGATCGTTGACAGTCGCTTCCCGTCTTTGCCGCGGGTCTCAGTTGCTCGTCCCACCCGTGACGACAGTCTGATGGGGTCGATGTCGTTTTTACCTCGTCCTTCTTCCTCATCACTTTGCAACTTGCCAGTCTGTCTTTTCTTTGGGATGCACATCACTGCCGTACCGAAAACATGCGAGCCTTCATCGAAGGAGCTGAGCTTCCACATAACACATTCCTCCATGCCATTAAATCTTGATCGGAATGGTACGGATACTGCAAAGATTGCTAGCTGGCCATTGGCTCCACCACCACATCTTCTCGGTCAACTCCCATCTTCTTCCTCAGCTGCAATGTCACCAACAACCGTAACGACTTGCACTTCTTTACCTTCAGAGATTGCATCGGTACATGGAAAAGCGTTCTCATCAAAGAGACTCAATTGGACGCGTCGACTTGTCATCACTAAACAGCCTGCATCCGAGTTTTACAAAGATGAAGGAGGCAAAGCAAATGCACTCGAAGTTGAAGTAACGCTTGTCGAGTTTAACGAGCTCGGAGAACCTGCTCGATCGTGCGACAAAGAGTTCATTGACATACCATTACGCATCCTGCTTTTCTTTGAATCTGGAAAGCGAGTTGATGATACGGACCAGGAAATTTTCCGCTTCGTGGGCAATGACTACGACTCCGTAGTCATTCGGGCCTCCACGCGCAAGGCCTCGGTGCAGTTTCGTCTCGAAAAAGTAAGCAGACGTAAAGACGGTCAAAGATTTAAGCTACGAATTGAAGTCGATCAAGAGCAATGCACCGCCAACGTTGCCGATCTCACTCCAGTTTTCACAAATGCAATCTGCGTGCTATCGAAGCGGAAACATCCTAGTTTGTACAGCTCGGAATCGTCAATCCGCGTCAAAGAACCCTCTCCAAAGTTGTTGAAACGTGGTACGTTTGACATGTACGCCGGGGGTGTCGTCACGGATATTATCATGTAACACACTTCTTGTTGTTGCAGATTTGGCTGGACTAGAAGAACGGTTGGCCAGAAAGATCGATGGACTCACAGCACATGTTCACCAGTTGAGTCAACTCATCCAGAAGCAGGTTCATTTGCCTCGATTTGATGGGTTGTGTTGCTAAAGAAGTATCTCCATCACTAACTGTGCTATGCATGACAGAATGAGCTCATCGTTAAACACCAAGCACCTTCGGTTCCTGCAGGAACGCATTGCAGTTCAAATGAGAGTTCAATTCTTGAATGGCTGCTTCGGTCTAACACTGCCGACGATGGTCCTTGGCCCAAACAAGTCATGGATCAGCAAATCTTTCCTAACGTTATGCCCTACTTTGAAGTCACCGACGAGCCGTACTGCGGCGTTGACCCAGATCTCACACCTGCGTTCGTTGCTCCCCCGAAAACAGCTACAAAAACTACAACGTCATCGAATGCGCGTACCAGCGAGACAACAACACCTTCGCTACCATTTGGCGATATCTAATATGTGCTCCATCTGTGGGACTGTAAGTACTTGCCCAATTTTCGCTTCTGACCTATTAGTTGGCTGGCTCGAAAATACAATTGGCGGCCTGCTTAATACGTGGTCCACCTTTTTTCCATTTATCAATTACTCTTTCAATTGATGCTGCAATTGAGCTGCTTGGGAAATGTTACTTCCTGTCTCTAGAAAATGTCGAAAGTCGCCCACCACTTGGGCCAAATTGCCTGCAGTCTGGATCTGACGATGTAGATCCACGTTCTTTGGGTTTTTTTCCATCAAATTCAGCAGCTTTTCTTTCCGTCGAAGCTGTAGCAGGAGCACACAAGCCATTGCAATCAGTTTTTCACTCGATAGTGTCCTTGGATGTTGTTGACGCAATCAACGTACAATTTCCTTATAGAGCTCGTCGCATACGGAATTAAACTGCTCGAGCTTCTTGACAACCTGATCCTCCCTACTCGTCGTCTCTTCACCTTCTCGATTACTGCTATCACAAGACAAGAATAGGTCATTCAAGATACACTTCCACTCACTATTCTGACGTTCAATCTCGATACAAACGTACGGGAATTGCTCCTCCGACTGCACAAGTGTTAAACACTCGGATACGAGCTCCTACAAGCGCATTAAACACACAGCTTTCAGTCACGATCCATTCAAACCCAACCCTGTCTTCTATGTAAATACAATACACACATCAAACTTTGTACAGACGTCCTCTACACGCAGTGCAAAGGGCTTATTCGGGTCTTTGGCTGCCTCGCTCGTTAGCATCACATTCGCCATAAGTGCTATTTCCTGCAATGAAAACACTGGAATGGATAATATCCTGGTATTCGGTGTTTCAATTGGTTTAAAGTATATACTGAATTTCCTCCAATCCTAGCGATTTTTCCCCCTTTTTAAAAAGACCACCGGGCACTACGTAGTAAGAGTGGAGTGAGAGGAGATGGCGGGGCAACGAAAGCTCTTGAGTGAGATTGATCGTACACTAAAGAAAGTAAGTGAAGGAGTGGATGTGTTTAATGATATATGGGATAAAGTCTATGCAGCTACAGCACAGAATCAAAAGGAAAAACATGAAGCAGATTTAAAGAAAGAGATTAAGAAATTGCAACGATTTCGTGATCAGATTAAGACGTGGATTAGTAATTCCGATGTAAAAGATAAACGACCACTTATTGAGACGCGTAAGATGATTGAACAGAAAATGGAAGAGTTTAAAGTGTGTGAGAAAGAAACAAAGACAAAAGCTTATAGTAAAGAAGGTCTTGCACAAGTTGAACGATTGGATCCCGAACAACAAGCTCGACAGGAATCTCATGCGTGGATACGGGATTGTTTAAATCAATTTAATGTACAGATTGAAGCACTAGAGAGTGACGTGGAACGACTTCATTCTGCCAAAGGTCGGAATCGAAAGAAGACGGAGATTGAAGAGAAGGAGAAATTGTTATCAAGACACAAGTGGCATATACTGAAACTGGAACAGATTAATCGATTGCTAGATAATTCTGCATTAGAACCAGAACAGGTTGATGAACTTAAGGACGATATTGATTATTATCTTGAAGCTAATCAAGAACCTGATTTTATGGAAACCTATGGAAATGATGATATCTACGAAACGCTAGACCTTGATACGCTTGGTGCAGCTGCACAGGTAGCTTTGCCGACGGAACAGGATGTTGGTATTGATGATACTAGCTCAACAACGTCTGCGTCGTCTGCTACTGCTACAGCAGTGGCGTCACCAGCACCAACGATCTCAACGGTGCGTGGCAAGACGCCGCGAAAGAGTGCGACGTCGCTAACGATTACAGGAATTGGCCGTGCTGGTGCAGTTAAGCCTATTGAACTTAAGACAGCGACGCCAAGTCGATCCAGTAGCGCTAGCAGAAACGATACCTCGCCATCCAATGGTCTCAAAGTGGAGATTAGCAAAGCACGCACGACTCCGTTGCGTGCAAAGAGTGGATCAGCCTCGTCAGAAAAGGGATTGAGCAAAGCGCCGACTCCAGTACCTTCTTCTCCTGCAGTTGGCGAGCAGCGCACACCCGCCCGCAAGGTTTCACCACCTACGCCGCAGCGCACGCCGTCACCTAGTATCGGTAAGGGTAAGTTTGGTTCGTCTACATCTGCTTCACCGGCAGCAGTGAAGCCTCCCTCAGGCCCCGCGCCGTCTCCTGCGCCTTCCAGTTCGTCGTTGCCACCACCAGTTCCTGCTCCATCACCTACTGCTGCTACCCACGCATCAGGTTCCGCACCAGTTCCCGTATCAGCACCGTCATCTGGGTCTGAATCTGCAGCGTCTACAGCCACAGCAGCAGTAACAGCAGCTAAACGTCAACCTATGGAAAAATTACCTCAACTTACCGAGGAACAGAAGCAGGTTTTGCGATTGATTGACGAAAGCTTTCACTTCATTCCCGAGAGCCGCGACTCTACAAAAGCCAACCGCTACGTTCCGCGCAACCTGTATCCGACACCAGCGTCATTTCCGACAACGCCATCCACGTTGTTTTCCAGTGCTCCCATCTTTGAGAAACTGGACGTTGACACGCTCTTCTTCATTTTCTACTACCAGCAAGGTTCCTATCAGCAGTATTTGGCAGCTCGTGAACTGAAGCGACGGACATGGGGCTACCACAAGAAGTACAAGACATGGTTCAAGCGTCACGAGGAGCCGCAAGTGACAGGTGAGGACTACGAGCAGGGCACTTTTGTGTATTTCGATTATGAAACCGGCTGGTGTCAACGCATTAAGACGGAGTTCACCTTTGAGTATAGCTTTCTCGAAGATGAGCTGCAGTAAGTTTAATCATCCTTGCCAGTAAAGTAACTCGTGCCTTGTTATTCTTCATGTAGTTGTCTACATTGCTCGTATGTACGTACATTCTGGTATAGACCGACTCATTCACCCGCATCATTTCATCTCCAGCAAGCAGACACAGTTCCCAATGCCCTTGACAACCGAATACGCCATTTCCCTGGCCAATGTACAGGCTGCCGCCAAGCGACTCCATGGGTTTGCGCATCGCACACCTGTGCTCACGTGTCATGCACTTGATAGTATCGCTACTACTGTGGGAGACGGAGACGCAAAGCGCCTGTTCTTTAAGGTATCTGATCACTATTTCATTCTCTACTACAAGGTCATTCTGAGAGTAGTTAAAACTTGTATGTGATGAGTGTGAGAACCTGCAAAAGATAGGAGCGTTTAAATATCGCGGAGCGTTGAATGCCGTCACGAAGTTTCTACAGGAGAAACAACAAAGGGGAGAGGAAGGAGACACGACGTTTGTTACTCACTCGAGTGGTAATCACGCTCAGGCGTTAGCCTTGGCAGCAAGAGATGCCCATTGCAAGGCTGTGATCGTTATGGTGAGAGTGTATGGAATTACAGTTTGTTCATTGCATGTGAATGCACTGACCCGCTTGTTTTCTTCAGCCAAACAACTCACCAAGGGTGAAGCAAAATGCTGTTCGAAACTACGGTGCTCAAGTCGTGCTGTGTGCACCGACTAATGAAGCTCGCCAAGAGACTGCTGACCAAGTGGTAGCAGCGACAACTGGTCACTTTATACATTCGTCCAATGATCCAGATGTCATGAGTGGACAGGGCACTGTTGCATTGGAACTACTGGAACAGGTACAGCAAGAGTATGGCGTGACGCTGGATGCTATTATTGTGCCTATTGGAGGTGCTGGTCTTTGCTCAGGTGTTGCCATGGCTGCAAAGGTACGTGTGGTGCGATTGGAACACAGCCAGCGGTAATTTGAAGCTGTAGATTTGTGCTGCGAGTAGTGATCTGTATTGTTCTTGATTGTAATGATACAAACGCAGTCTGTCCAGCCTGACATCAAGATCTTTGGCGTGGAGCCTACTGGAGCAGCTGATGCCTACAACTGCTTTCAAAAGCGTCAGCTTATGGGTCATACCGGTCCTGTTAGCACCGTGGCCGATGGCCTGCAGACGACTCTGGGTATTGAACGCTGATGGTTAGTTGTTGAAAGATAGACGGCTGACGTTTTTGCAATTGCTTAAACCAGGCGACAAGAATTGGCCCATCGTGCGTGACTTTGTAGACGATATCTTGCTTGTTTCTGACGATGAGATCGTGTCGGCGATGAAGCTCATTTGGGAGCGCATGAAGCTGGTAGGAATCATGAGCGATGGGTATTTGATCGATCAGAGCGCTACGGTATGGAGTGACTTACAGGAGCTAAATGCGTGACAGGTTGTCGAACCCAGTGGTGCAGTAGCGACCGCGTCTGTCCTTGCGAATAAGGTGCCGGACGGGCTCGTCAATGTGGGCATCGTATTTTCGGGTGGCAACGTGGACCTTGAAAGGCTGCCATGGTGAGACTTTCGACTCAGCTCAAACTAGCAAGGAGAGAAGATGGTGGTCGTAAAGATTAGCAATCTATGTGCTCGCATGATAACGGAGAAGAATGAACGTAAATGTGAAGTGAGCATCTCGTTCTGTCCTGACATCGCAGCAGGCAACTCAAGCTCTGTTCATTTTGCGAGGTGATTAGCTGACACTAGACGTTATGTTTCTTGCCTCAGCAATGAAGCACATATGCCTGCGACGTCAACAATTGAGATATCAAGCCAGAACGTCGAAATGGAAGTCGTCGACAGTCGTGCAGACAGTGATTTGTATTCACAATGAAATGCACAACGTTGGCTGCAATCTAGTCACAGCAAGAACCTAGAGTTATCCAAGCAGACCCGCTTAGTCGTCCACAAGATCTGAGTTTAAATGACTTCCTGTTTGTTTGCACGTACAAACAGTTCTTCTATAAAAGTTCTCTACGTGCTGCTGAACAGGTAGCTAAGCATAAAGTAGATGCCGACGCCCCACACCCACCGAGGAATTCCCAAACCATTTTCTCCTCTCTGTACTTCCGGCTTCGGAGTTGCAATGTTGGCAAGTTCTTCTTCAGTTGCAGCACTTCTTTCGTCCGGTGCAGAGGTACTACTCGGCAAAGCAGCCGGACGCTTTTCAATTTTCAAGCGTTTTCTCGCAGCAGCAGGAATTGTCTCGCTCTTGACGGCCTCCGGACGGCGACGAGTAAACGATGCAACCTCTCCTTGCAGTTGACGCAAGTTTAACAGAATAGCCTGCCCAATCCAATCCATCACGACACAATCGTTAGGGTCCTTATCTTGTTGTTTATCACGTCCAGTAGATTAACACCACCACGTACCTGATTGCTTCTCAGCAGCTCAATACTCAACGTAAGGTTTTCACGAGCCAAATCGCGGTGGAAGTATCCACCGATAGCACGACATCCGTTCATGAAAAGTGGAAATGCCATATGCATTATTTCAACGAAATCGTGGATAGTCATCATAGGGAAAAAGTAAGGGGGCAAACGAGCACCGCCATAGATGAAATTGAGCTCTAGTATGAAGCAAAGCACACCGGCAGCTAGAGACCACGCACGTGCTTCCCGGGCCGTCTCACTTAACGTCATGATGAACGTGAGCACAGCCCAGATAGCATAGTACGTCAATGAGCCAACGAGTGCTTCAATCTGCATCGACCACATGTCCTTTTCCACAGCAGTTTCACCAAAGAGATCATACAGTGGACGCTTATTGGCATCACCCAAAATCTAATTATTACAACAAAAAAGCGATATACAACTAATGAGCATCGTCAATCTCTCGCTAGTTTTTACACGTTACTTGTCCCAACGTACATCAAAAGCCAGTCGAAGACGATTGAATTCTTCCATAGCACTAGGCGACGCATTTTTATCCGGATGAAGCTCGACGGAACGTTGACGGAATGCACGTTTAATCTCCGCATAGGACGCATCACGATCAACGGCCATCATGTGGTAGAAATTAGCCTCTTGTTCATATACGTTTGTACTCTACAAGAACGATAAAAAAATGTCATCATCATATCAATACACATAAGAGTAAGGTTTCGTACGATAAAGTCCATTTGATTGCGTCATGATTACGTACGATAGTAATAGCAGCAACAACAACAAGGAACGTAACAGCATAGAAAAAAGCAAGCTGTTTCGAGAAGCGACCGGGCTTTAGAATCCATGAGATAATGGGTGAAATGACAAACATTTGTATTAAAACACCCAGAGATGACTCCGTTGTCGTCATAATGAACGTCTTGAGATGGGTTTAATGCGATCGATGGCTTCGTGGATCTCTTCTCTATAGTGAAATTGCTTATTGACTTATAAGAACAAAGACGTTCTTAAGCTCACATATGGATTGGATATAATTATGTAATCAAATAGGAGTTATGATTGGTTTATTATCAACCAATAGTAGATTGCTATTGTACAAGAGGATTCTGATTCTAGCACTGCTTTTGTCTGTATACTAATTCGCTCTATCTCTGTGGTCGTCTTGGCTGCCACCGCCACTTCTTTAGTCTTTCATACTGCTTTGTAGTTTGCGTTTCTTCCTTCTTGCCGTCGACGAAGATTTTACTTCACCGTAAAAGTGTTGAAGTGTACAAAATATTGATTCTTGCCTTAATCTTGTATCAATACCACTTGAAAAAGGCATGAAGGTCCTAGTCAGTATCTCCATCGGGTATCGTAGAGAACTTGAGCGTATCATACGAAGTGGTAGTGTGTTTCATTATCTTCATCCACCTCAGTACTTAATTGCCACTAGCACTGTTGCTGATACTGGTGTCTGGACTCGACGCTTGGGTTTGCTTCCCGAGATTGATGCCTTGGTTACGTGCTGTCTTGGTCACGTGCTACTGCTCGACTGAGACGCAATCATAAGACGAAGGCGTAAGTCGAAGCGTGTGGGCAAAGTATGACTTTGTCTACTGTCGATACTGCGGTGGACACGTTTGTAGCTGCGCAAAATCCGAGCAGCGCGACAAACAATCAGCATCTTTGCGAGAAATTTGGCTGCGGCGAGCAGGCACATCGCAAGCACAAGACCAAATCAATACGACTTTTCAGGGTAAAATCTATGGTACGGCGTCTATGTAGTAACGATTTACTGCTGCATGGGATGTGATGATGATCGTCGTCAGTGTGTTTATGCTGACGTTGCAGTACCTGTTCTACAACGGCTGGTACATGTTGTGTGTACGTGTACGCGTTGTTGTGAGCTTTCTAAATGCGATGGAAAGGCAAGATGTGCATACGACGGCAGTACTTTGAGCAGAATCAACGAGCGTGCTGGCTCTTCGATCTTGTGAGATTCTATTGTCTCTCGTGGTGTTATGGTACCTATTCATGCAGGTCGGAACTTGTTTACTGCATTACACACTAAACAGGTCTTTAGCTTGAAAGATTGTTACATTTTGGTGTTGTTTGTTGAAGTCACGTATCAAACATCGATCTATATCGATCAACATTATAACAACTCCACAACAAGCCATAAGAGACACTTGATGATTGCTCACAAACGCGCCTATCATTGAGTGACGTATGCGTCTGTTCGTCAAAGCCTTAGGTGTCCTTATCTTAGCCAACTGGGTCGGTAGCTAATTCATCCATCCAATCAGACCACATGCGACTTTTCAGGATAAAATATATACAATGGCATTTATATGACAAAGTCATTGATTTGACGCATCAATCAGCTGCTGTCGAGTAGAGACAGACCTATTTCGTGACGCCGTATACGTCATTCGATGATACGTTAATGTCCAGTTTAATGTCTGGTTTTCTATTGTAGATTCAATAAAACTGAAGTTTCTTACGAGACTTCAACAAACAACACTAAAATGTAACAATCTTTCAAGCTAAAGACCTGTTTAGTGTGTAATGCAGTAAACAAGTTCCGACCTGCATGAACAGGTACCATAACACCACGAGAGACAATAGAATCTCACAAGATCGAAGAGCCAGCACGCTCGTTGATTCTGCTCAAAGTACTGCCGTCGTATGCACATCTTGCCTTTCCATCGCATTTAGAAAGCTCACAACAACGCTTACACGTACACACAACATGTACCAGCCGTTGTAGAACAGGTACTGCAACGTCAGCATAAACACACTGACGACGATCATCATCACATGCACAGTAAATCTTGTGGTGCCAATCACGTCATTGGAGCTTCTAACCTGACTTTAAGGACATCTAGCTTCGTTTTATCTTGATTACGACCTTTCAAGGTAAAATCTCTTAGAAATTTTTACGTCAACGACAATCCGTGTTTTGATTGGATGCACGCATCAGCTGCGGTTATTACGTTAGAGACAGGCACGCTGGGCTCGATGACAGACTCCGACGAATATACATCTCACTTTACAATTTGCCTCTTCGTGCTCAAGTAACAACTCCACAGACTTTGAGCTCTCACATAAACGTCCTCACCCCCCCTCTCTTTCTCTCTCTCTCTCTCTCTCTTCCTTCCCTTCTTGCATTATGGAGAAACTTGATACAAACCCTAGTATTTCTCAATTACGTCAACACAAGACATGTGAGCTACTTGTGGCTGCCCCAAAGGTAGCGCGTTCCCAACAACAGAATTTATTCCAAAGCATGTGGATTGGTGCCACGGCTGGTATGGGTGGTATTGTTGCGGTATATCCTGTTGATGTGATCAAGACACGGATGCAAAATAGCCGTGTAGCTACGAGCGCCATTCAAACGCTCACTACGATATTCCGTACCGAGGGCGTTGGGTCTTTTTACAAAGGTCTTGGTCCACAACTGATTGGAACGATTCCAGACAAGGCCGTTTCACTTGCAACACGTGAATTTGTCAAGAGTTTCTTTGATAAACCTAATGAGTTTAAGGCGTCACTTACGTCTGCTGCTGTCTCGGGTGTTTTCCAATCGGTTGTCATGAATCCTGTCGAGGTTGTCAAGGTTCGCATGCAGCTCGATAGTAAGTTGAAATTACTGGGCGTGATTCGTGATCTTGGACGGCAGGGTCTTTATCGAGGATACTCGGCCTGCCTTGCTCGTGACGTCATGTTTGCCTCCACATACTTTACGCTCTATGATATGGCCAAGACGCAGCTCGGTGTCCAAGACGGCACTTCGCTTGGTTGGTCAATGATTGCAGCCTCTACGGCTGGTATCCCCGCTGCCTTCATGTCAACACCACTGGATTTACTCAAGACGCGTATGCAGTCGCGTGACGCTACAGTGCAGGGCTTTGTAAACACTTACAGACAGGTGACAGCGGAAGGTGGATTTGGTGCGCTTTTTGCTGGATGGGGCCCGCGAGTTAGCCGCATTGCACCTCAATTTGGCATCGTGCTCGTGTCATTTGACTGGCTATCGCATCGATTTAACCCGGTGGCTCACGTACCTGAGCCCGCAGACGCAGACTCTTTCGCCGACTACTGAGCACGAGATGGCGTTGCCACCACTCCGACAACCATACTGTTTAGATAGTACAGAGACCAAAGTGATGCATGCAAAAAACACAAGAGCCTCTAGTGATGATGTTTTTTGTGTCGTCATCGCTGCAAAAGTTGTTTGTCATGGGACTTCCAATCCGTTGTGAAAGCTAGAAACGAGTAGAAAAACTATTGATCGACAGTAGGTCAATGAATGTATCCTCTCCGTTTAAATTGTTTTTTTTTCTCGGTAGCTTGCTCATGGTCCCTATTTTATAGCTACAGTGGTTTGTTGTTGTGTGTGTGTGTGTGTCCCCAGTTTGCTCAACTCTCGGTCGCCAGCCACGAAAGCTGCGGCTTGTCTAGCGTCTTTGCCAATTCCTTTGCGTCCAAAAAACACGTCAACGTTGGCCTTGAGAGTCACCTTTGCCGTAGCTGTGCGTACAGCGACCGAAGCGTTAACTGATTCCAGTGCAGCCTTCACGTCTTCGTACTTCATTGAAGCCACGTATGCCGCAAAATGCTCCACCGGCATGGTCGTTTCGTGCTTAGCGAGCACTTCAGCCGGAGCAAAGAGCACTGCAGGGCGAGCGATGACAACCTTTATGCTTGAATCCGCAAACTGAGCTTCCTCCGACACAATTGGCACGCTGTGCGCAGGCTGCAGCGACAGCGGGGCAGGAGCTGTCCCCAAAGCTGAAATAATCATGGGCAAAAACGAACGGATGGCCGTCGAGATCGGGCCATCCTCACCGCCCTTCTCCTCAAAGTATACGTGAATCTTGTCCTGCACCACCAGACCAGCTTTCTTACGCAGTTTCTGCACGCGGGTAATCACCTCACGCGCACAGCCCTGCATCTTCAACTGCTCGTCCTCACGTGTATCAATAATCACCATGAGGTTGCCTTCAGGTGACACGTCGGCCTCGAAGATCGTCGTGTCGCCCTTGAACTCACGCTTCACCAGCAGATCATCACCGGTCAGGTCATGACCATCCATAGTCACACTCTCATTCGAAACGTAGGCAGCGACATCGTCGTGTGTCATCTGCGCAATCTGCTTTTTCACACTTGACAAGGCCTTGCCTAAACGACGACCAAGTGCACGGCTATTGGCTTCGGCCTTCAAGACGCACCACTCCTTCTCGTCTGTCGAGAACTCAAGGTCTCGCATGTTCAGCTCATCGTGCAAGTATGTCTCAAGACGACGGAGACCATCCAGCACCTTCTCATCGCTCGACACCACGATTACCTTCTTCACCGGGTTTTTCAGTGAAATCGCACGGCGCTCGCGCACCACACGACCCATTTCAACAACACTCTGCAGGTTTCGCATGAGCTGCTCAACCTCCTCATCCACACGGCTGGCATCGAAATCTGGCAGCATGAGGAAGTGTGCACTAGGAGACACGCCATCGGCATCCTCCGCTAGGTCCTTGTCAGCACCATTCACAACGTTCGGGTGGAACTGACGCAAGAACTGGTACATGTACTCCGTAAAGAACGGTGTGAAGGGAGCCATAAGCTTGGCAAGGTTGTACTCTACCTCGTACAACGCAGAGAGGGCCACAGCAGCCTCAGCACTGCCGGCACTGCCTTTAAGACGAGGACGATTCAGACGAACGTACCAGTTTGTAAGCTGACCGATAAAGCTGACCAGGCGTGGCACCACCGTGTACAAACGATAAGCTTTCATCTCCTCATGCACAAACTTGATGAGATTGTGCAAGGCAGCAATGATCCAAGAGTCCATAACGTTCGTTGAAGCCAGAGCCGCCTCCAGGTTGGGTACAAATACGACACCCGTCTCCAGCTGCAGGCGAGTAGCCTGCTGGGCAAAGAACCGAGCCGAGTTGAACCATGGCAGAAAGATCTCACGGACAACACCAAGCACACCCGAGGCCTGGAACTTTAAAGGTTCGGCACGTACCACAGGCGAATTGATTAGGTAAAGGCGAAGGGCATCAGCACCGTACTTTTGCAAGATATCTTCAGGGTCCGTAAAGTTCTTTAGACTCTTACTCATCTTGCGACCATCTTCAGCCAACACAAGACCATTGACAATCAGGTTTTTAAATGCGGGCTTGTCGAACAATGCCGTCGACAGCACCATAAGTGTATAGAACCAACCACGGGTCTGATCGAGACCCTCAGCCACAAAGTCAGCCGGAAACGTGGCCTCAAACTTTTCCTTGTTTTCGAACGGGTAATGCTGCTGAGCGTATGGCATCGAGCCACTTTCAAACCAGCAGTCAAAAACCTCGGGTACACGGCGAAGCACACCCTTGCCCTCTTTTGACGGAAATGTCAGGTGATCAATGAATTCACGGTGCAAATCCGTCACTTTCTCACCCGTCAGCTCCTCAAGCTCAGCAATCGATCCCACACACACAACCTCTTCGTAGTCATCGCTCACCCACAGCGGCAGCGGTGTACCCCAAAAGCGGCCACGCGAAATATTCCAGTCCTTACCGTCCACCAGCCAGTTGTGAAAGCGCTTCTCCTGCACAAAGCTCGGCACCCAATACGTAAGCTTATTGTTGGCCACAATGCGGTCGCGAATTCTCTCTACGTTTACAAACCAACCAGGGATAGCACGGTAGATCAACGGAGTGCCTGAACGATAGCAAAACGGGTAGCTATGCACCTCCGTACCCTTGGACACAAGGCGACCGCGGCTTTTTAGATCCTGACAGATAACATCGTCCGCTTTTTTCACGTGCAGGCCCTTGACAAGTGGTACAACGTCCGTAAAGACACCGTTATCATCAAGCGGATCGGGTAATGTAAACTTATCAGCCACGCCTTCACGCACGCAGACACGGTAATCGTCTTCACCAAAAGTCGGTGCTTGATGTACGATACCGGTACCACCAGAATCAGACACGTAGTTGTCCGAAAGCACACGAAAAGCGTTCGGCCAGTCTTTGAACGAGTCAAACAGCGGTATGTACTTCTTGCCAACAAGTGTTGCTCCCTTGAACGTTTCTAAAATTTCAAACTCATTGCCCTTGTATCCCTTCTTGGTCATTTTTGGGTACACTTGACAAAGCCGAGCTTCACCTAGAATATAAATCTTGTCCGTCGCAAGGTCTTTTATCTTAACATAGTCAAAGTTTTCATTCACACACAACGCCAAGTTGGATGGCAATGTCCAAGGAGTAGTGGTCCAGGCCAATAGAGCAATGTCTGGTTCATCAACAAGAGGAAAATTCACAATCACCGATGGATCAGGTGTCTCACGGTAATCCAAATTTGCCTCAAAATTTGAAAGTGACGTTGTACATGCTGTTGAATAAGGAAGAATTTTATAACCACGATAGATCAAATTCTTATCGTAAATGGTACGAAAAACATTCCATACGGATTCCATATACCACGGTTCCATTGTCTTGTAATCATTTTTACAATCAATCCATCGTCCAATTCGTTTAACAATCCGTTCCCATTCACTTGTATAACGTTGTACAATACTACGACATTCTGCATTATATGTCTCAATCCCCATCTCCATCACTTGTTCCTTCGTGGTCACGTGGAGTTTCTTATTAATTTCATTTTCAACTGGAAGCCCATGACAATCCCATCCAAATCGACGTTCAACGTAATGTCCTGTTTGATGTGCATAGCGTGTGATTGTATCTTTAATTGTACCTGCTAATATATGACCATGATGTGGTAATCCCGTTGCAAATGGTGGTCCATCGTAAAATGTAAAAGGTGGACGGTCTTTTGACAAGTCTAAGGATTTTTGAAATGCATCGAGTTGATCCCAGAGCTTGAGAATTTGAATTTCTTCATCGGGAAATGAAATACGTTCAGGTAGAGACCGAAATGAACTTGGTGCGTGTGTCATGAGAGGTAGATTAAGGTGGTAGATAATGAATGATAAGAGAGAAGAGAGAGGAGATGAGATGATGATGATAGAGGATGGATATGGAAAAATGACTGGTGGTGAGCCGTTGAGGTCGAAGTGTACCATAAGGCTGGTACGAATTAGATTGAAAGGCGTTTGGTTTTTGTACTATCCTGTAATAGTTAATTATATGGTTGCTGGATTAGGATGTGTGTTAGAAATATGTCCCTTCTTTTGTGTAAAAACAAGACTTGCGTAAGAGATAGAAATAGAAATGACTTTACATTTTGACTTCCAGAACCTGGAAGAAAATACACGGACTAACTGTCACTTCTGTGGATTTGACGACGCCTAAGAGAGAGAGAGCGAGTAGAAAAAGTGACGTGGCATACTTTTCCATATTTGGTACTTCAAAAGTAACTGCTAGTCTGACAATTTGACGTTTCTTGTGTTTAATTGTAACGCATCTCATCACTATGAGTGGATCACATGCAAAACAAATAAGTGGGTAGTAGTACGTTACTTCACTTTGCGCTCACATGGACATATAGATCAAACACTTTCTATCCATTCAATAATACTCTTCTTACATTCTTCTTCTTAGTATCAAGTCAAACGATAACGTTACATGAAAAGCATTTAAAACTCTTCTACCATCAAAAACCCAATGAAGAAGTTGACTGATCTTACTAGACAAGAGAAAGTAGGGAACTGGAAAGTCCTAGATCGCACTTTCTTTCTATCTAGGCGTTCCCCATCAAAGAAAAAAGTCCACCAAACGTCAAGCACAAGTCTGGGCCGCGGTATTCATTCTTCTTCCCGCGATACAGCAAGAAACTCCGTCAGTCTTAAACAGAACGGAGAAGCGACACAGTTGCAGCATTTTTAAATTCGAACCTTCAAGCACACGAAGTTAAGACATGGGACTACGTGACTCGACCCGAACGCTCTTACGCAAGCTTCGAGGACGTGATATCAAGCAGGAAGAGGCTCAACAACTTCAGCCTGTGGCCCTTGCAGGTGCAAGTAAACGCTCGACGAATCGCTCGGAACTCTGCAGCTCGTTTGCCGCGACAACGATGAGTCGTGAAGAGCTCGAAGGTCGACGAAAGGCCGTGAGCGAAGGCAATGCCAAGTGGGAACAGTGTGGCATGTGTACGCGTAGTTTTGTAGTCGGCACTAGTCGCTACGCGGATTTCTGTTCGCTTGATTGCAAGTCTGCAGCACTTTACACTCAGTCAGCACGTGTTTACCGAAGACGTTATCGTAACGCATGAGCTCAAAAAGACTTGTTCGAGAAAGCTGACACATTCTGCATGTAGAAGGAGGTGTGGCACTGAAACAAGAGCTAACTGTCTGTCCGTCCATGTAGTCGTATCTCGCTCGTTTATGTAAGCTCCTGCTAGCACGCTCACATCGTAAGACCATTTAATTAAAAACATAAAGCAGAGTCGCATGAGCTTTTTCGTTCACATCAGTCCGTCTCATGTTTTCCTGGCTTGCTACCTACGCCCGTGAGATCCCAGCCAAACGTTCGTGTGCTGCATCCATTCCCAGGCTACTGTCGTCTTCTGACTTACGCGTCGCCTAGTCTATGGATGACAACACCTTCGTCCTTTTGTCGTCATTGTCTTTTTCCCGACTGCTCTTGTCATCATTTTCATTATCGTCGTCAGCATTATTGTTGTCTTTCTCCCACCATCGTCTTCGTCCACTTTGCCGTCTTCGTTGTCCTCGTTGCCGTCATCGTCCTTCTCTCCACCCTATTGTATTGATTTTTCGTCACGGTTTATATGGCGTCCGGCACGTTGGACATACTCGATTGCTGCATGACAACCAGCACCAAAACGTTAATGACCAGCACACAATAATTATACCGCAGCACACAGCACTTTTACTCGTACTGATGCCTAGCGTATGCTTCAAAGCAGCTCGAGTGCATAACGTGACCACATGGCAGCACATTCACCGTCTCCAACGAGTCAAAAGTCACCTTTATATAGTTTAATAACATCACATTTCAGTCGCCACTACAGATAATATAATAACCTCATACAAACACGTACATTAAGACAAACTGGACAATTGTGATGCATGGATCCATCCAGACACTTGTGCTTTGTCCTGATCGAGTGTGGATAACACCCGCAGCACTTGACACAATGGTAATAATTCTCACGACCTCCCACACTATTGTATCAAATACCATAACAACCCAGAGCAATGAAACCTTAATATATTCTATAACCTCTCTATGTCGATACAGTATCGTACCGACAAATACCGCATTGATCACAATGAAAAACTTGCTTCTCAATCCCTTTGTCATCAAATAACTTGCACACAAAACAAACATATGCGGCAACATTCGTGCAACAATACATACAAGATTGCGCACACTAAATATAAATCATTAACACATGGCAGTAAATCAACGGATTTAGTAGCTAAAACAAGGTAATAAAGTATAGCGCACTGACTTGTTGTTCCGTCAGACACACATCGCAGCGCATGTATTTAATAGCAAAACGATCAATTTGATGTGTGTCTCCAAATGCTTCATCATGACACAATCGACATCCAACCCACGTGTTGCAACATTCAGCCAATACGTGGCAACGTCGTTCATAGTGTGGGCATTTAGCCGACAAAGTTGTCATAGTGTTGTGTCTGGTTGTCACTCAATTGAAAAAAAATCGATTTTGAAAGGAAGAACGGCGATTATTATTAAGTATCTCAATTATGTCATAGCAGTACCTCTAAGAAACGATGTTGCGCTACAATGAACATAACCTAGACAGTATAATTCATCAAAGGAAAGATAGAGATGCAGCGGTGAGAGATGTGTCGTCATGTCACCTTACATAAAAAGAGCTTGTAGACATGTGTCCGTTGGTCTTATATAGCTATTTATCCCTTCCTCAGGATAAACAAAATACTTTTTTTAATCAAACTATTTTTCTTTTTTTCTGCTTTTTATTACAAGCAACAAATCGATAAGAATAAATTAATTATATACGTTAAGAGATTACATCGTAATTGTCATATAATAAGATCATGGCACAGCAAGAAGTCACAAAAGCTGCGCCCGAGACGAGAGCGAGTTCCACTCGCCATCAATCAACACTACATACAAGCTTATCATCCTTTGTATCTTCTACATCTACTCAAATCATCGCGCATGCACCAAGTTTAGAAGATAGTATTAAATTTTCAGGTGGTGCTGTTGCAGCTTTAGTGGCAATGCGGTATGCTGGAAGTTTACGGTCTGCTTGTATTGTGGGTTTCTTATCTGGATTATTTGCACATTCTTTTTACGTGGATGTGATACGAAAGAAACGAAGAGAAAGGGATGAGAAGAGAGAAAGACAAGGAGAGAAGGATAGAGAATTGTATCCAGAGGAGGAGGAGGAAGAAGAAGATACTGAATGATGTGGGATACTAGACACATGGTGTTGGTGGTTTGTTGGTGCTTTGTTACGTTGTGAGAGCTTTTAGAGAAGTTGTAGAACAAGAAGAAATGATGGGAATTAATGGAACGGTCTTGATGAAAAAAGAAGGAAAAGGACAGTTTTTTGTGTAGTGATGGAGACACTGGCTGGAAGCATGAGTAGAATGAAACGCGCGTCGAAAGTGACGCTTGGACGTGACACAGTGAAGTGCTGGTGGATAAGTGGGAATATAGGTAGCAGTTCTCGAGGATTACGAGGTGTGGACTTTTCAAGCTTCACGACGAATGCTGAAGTGTCAAGCAGAAGCAAAAATGCACAAAGGAGCAATCCACATATGATGATGATGATGATGATGATGATTGCACAATGAGTATTTTCAGAAAAGGAATGAATACCGAGAGCGTAAGCTTCTGGTCAAGCAAAAACTCCGTGTTGTGTAATCTCGACTGTCGTATGCTTACAATCTTTTTATGTTTCGAAGCGAGACGTACAAGTCTTGTAACTGCAGCACTTCAGCAATGATTGCCCGTTGCGTAGCATTGCATTCATGCGCCGTTTTCAACGCAGCTTAAGCTTATCATTTAGTCAGTATGAAATCAAGGCGCTTGTGACCATTCTACTACCGGCAACTGGGCTTTGTTAATCATCTCTGTCTTCAACGCTTCACATGTGCCTTTGATCTACTGCAAACACCAAGACCATTCTCGTTCATATCAGCAACATTAGTATCAGTGCTATGTGCACGAAACATCACGCACAATATGTGTCTTCAGCAGCTCTTAGTGTCATACTGGTTGACCATGCGGTTAATGCGCTCCAGCGTCTGGCGACGCGGCAAAGGAGATCGACGGGTCCATGCATTTAGCTGCAAGATGCGTTCCTCCAACAACTTGTCACTCCACAGCAATGTATCCACCGAGAAACTACAAGGAATAACACATCATCAAATCCAAGATACCTCTATCAGGTAACCATCGTTGCAAACCTCACCCTTTTGCCATATCATCATCTTCACACAACATGCTAGTCTTTGGATGTTGCAGATCACGACGATGTCCATAGCGCAATGGAATGTAGCCTACAAAGCAACATCCATGACATCATCTTCATGTAATCTCCCAACTGTAAGTTCCTCACCTTTCGGTGGGATCGGTGGCTGTCGGCCAATGTTCGTGACTACTGCTACTTCTTGATTTGGATAGTACTCTGCCCACTTATGACTAGTATAAAACTCGATTCCATCACTTGTGGTAGCTCTCATCAGCTTCTCATTCTCCTCTCCATCGTCTGCTTCACGGCCAGACAAGGACGCGACATTGTTGCTACGACTGCATCGTCTCTTCATCGTCTTCTCTACATCATCATCATCATCATTTTCTTCTTCTAGACACAACTCTTCCACTTGATACTGCATCTCTTGACTCTATATAGTACCTCCCCATACATTAACCAGCAGACAAACAACCAGTATAAAAAAGTACGTGCAAACATACTCAGTACACTGGAAAATCAACAACAAGACGCACCAGTAAAAGATTAATTCTGTCTCTCCTGGATGCTTTTTAATATATTCTAACATACAATGTAGCACAAGCCATTTCCTATTCATTCCATCAACACACACAACATCGTCACCCACCGCCGAGACGCTATCATGATCCAACGTCGTCATCCGTTCGTCCGTCGCCGCCCTTTTTTGACTTGTCTCGGATTGACAAAATACTGGAGACTTGGTGTGGTGCACACAATCCTCACCCCCTCTCATAGGCGATTTTCAGCAAAGACACCATGTTGAAGCCATGGATGTGTCAATGCCTCCTGTGCCGATAAACGATGTATTGGATCAATGTGTAGCAATGCACGCAAGAAATCCAGAAACTCGGCATCTTTTGTCTGTACGGCTTGTTCAAGTGATGGTAAGTGAAGAGTTGCAGTCAACATACCATTGCCCAAATGATCTAGTGCGAACAATCCAGTCTCAATCAATTGGTGTTGCAATTCGTCGCGATCAGCTAGAAGAGATGCAGGAATTGGACCTATATACAACAAGAATATACAAATGAGCGTCCAGGAAAGACACAATGGAGCGGCATGTGTGTCGTCCACACGCACCAATTGTTGCCAGGATCCGAGCCAACAGAGTTTGTTCCGAGTCGTTGCGAAACAGCACTTCACCCGTGTACATCTCGGCAATCACACACCCGAGAGACCATAAATCAATCTTGGTGTCGTACAGGAGTCCGAGAATTACCTGGAAAGACAACAAATGTGTCAGGTCAATGCGTATTGATGGACCAGCAAATATTGTCACCACGAAACATACCTCCGGAGCACGATAAGAACGTGACTGGACGTAGGATGTGAGCTCATCCGTAGTAAAACAGGCCGATCCAAAATCAATCACTTTAATAGTGCACGCGCTAAAATTTTGAATCAGGATGTTCTCTGGCTTGAGGTCGCAATGCACAATTCCCATCGAATGTAATGTGTCCAGTGCCTCCAACACCTCAATCGCTATTTTTTTCAGGCGAGGAATGCTGAAGTAGTTGATCACACCGCGTTGTAAAAGCAAGCGTGAAAATTCATATAGATTGTCTCGAAGAAGCTGCAAGCAAATTAAGCAGATGAGTACTCGAGCGAGGGAGGTGAGTACGGAAGGATATGGTGTAAATGCGATGCCACCAACGCACCTCAGTCACAATTATCAGGTGCTCGCGAAAATAGAACGCGTCCAAAAGTCGGATCAGGTGCCTTTCATCAACTTTACAGTTGTGATCGATATACTCCAGAACGCGAATCTCGTCAACGCCCTGGTCAAAGTATTCCTTGTTGTTCTTGATGATCTTCAGGCATACCACCTCATCAGTCGTTGCGTCGATACACTTGTACGTTCGGCTGAACACTGCTTCTCCTATTGCCATTTCCACCTGCAAATATAGCCACACCACAAATCAACACTCGACGTTATACAGTGATCTGCAAGCAATAGCCAATCCATCATACCCACCTTGTATCGATTGCCAATGACGGTCCCAGCACGAGGGCGCCAATCCTGATTAGGCTCAAACCCAGTGCGATTTTTTTCACGAATGATGCGGAGTTTGAACACTTCATATTCTTTCGGCTCGCCATCGTCACTCTCTGAGCTTTCACTTCCTGCAGCATCGTCGCATACATCGTCGCCATCTTTGATATCAATGGTTTGGACGGTGTCTGCCTTCTGTTTCGTCTTACCATCGAGATCATTTTGGAACGTCGTCACCTGACCTTGAATTGGAGAGCCTACAACGAACGCACCCACCAGCGATTCCTCGTGGCTACAGTGCACTATGCCGTTGTCAAGCTCTTTTTCTCTACCATTACTATCATCACCAACGTCGTCCTCGTCATCCATTTGAAATACCTTTTCCTCGCTCTCATCATCCAGATCTTCTCCTTCAACGTCCTCTTCGTCGCCATTCACATCGTCCTGGAACGTGTCGTCCTCGCAAATGGAGCTCACCATTTCACTGTACACCTCGTCTTCTGCGCGAATGTTGTTGTCTTCCTCTTGCGTAAATGCAAACTGATCCGGCTGTCGAGGCCACAGTGCTGACACTGGTTCCCCGTCCATTGACGTAGTTCCAGGAGAGGCTCCCATTCCAAACGATGACTGTGGTGAAGTTGATGTCCTTGCAGACAAGCCATTTGTGCATGCAATTCCAATTGGCTCTGAGATCATGTCGTTCATTGTCGTGAGTGTCTGATTCGTCATACACAACTGGTTTACCGATTCCACCAGGTCATTCTCATACTCGGCGCCAAAGTCACTGTTGCTGCTGTCTTCGCTATCCTCACAATTCAAGTCCTTGTCATCTACCTGAACACCGTCATAGCTATCATGTACCACCAGTGAATGATCAGATAAGTGGTTCTCCTTTCGGTCTTCCTCATTTTCTCCAACAGCCTGTTTACGAAGCTCCTGACACTGTAACGTATCCTCCAATCGTTTCTCATCCAGCCTCGCTCCATTCTGCAGTGCCACGAGCTCTCTAGAATCAAAAAATCGATGCAATAAGATGTTTCCATTGCCCATTTCTTCATGTAACGCCTGTCGTAGCTTTTCATTTGTATGAATCTTTTCCACGGCTTTTGGAACGTTTGCAATGGACTCAAGGATCATCTCCAGCAATTCCTTACGCTCAATCTCTTTCCGTTTATCTCGCTCTTCATTCTGACTCCGGTTATTAAGAGCTGTAGCTGACGTGACACGACGAAGGAATGACATGGGTGGAAGGAACTGCTCCGGAGCTGCTGTAGTCGACGATACGGCAGTACAAACGACCTGTGACGCGGAAAACGACGTGTCTATTGATTCATAAAAGATCTCACGCCCACTACAATCGTCCAAAGTGTCCTGTAACGTCTCTAGACGCTCTTGGGAGCTCGGCGAAGGAGTCAAAGACATCACCGAGGTAGGTGGAATGTGTGACTTGTGTAAGGTGACGTTTGTATGGAGGTCATTCAAAAAAGGATCATATGTACCTCGTATTTGTGACGTCAATTGACCATCATTCTCAATCCGACCATCATTCTCAATCCGACCATGCCGAAGCTCAATAGACTTGTATGTAAGGACGAAGTGGATGATCATACGTTTGAGAAAGCAACAGCTGAAGAGCTATTGACATCAAGTATTGACTCATTAGCAATGCAAAGAGAGAGAAAACAAGTGGCTATCATGTGTAGTGCATCATTTATTCCGATCTCCACGTTAGTAAAGCAACAAAAAGGCACAAGGTTGGATGAAATGTGGATGGAAATGGCTCTAGGATATTCATACGTATATATGACTCTATGCTATGGGGTCAGTTGTGTGCTAGGGAATCCATGGGATAGGAAAGACAATGAAACGTATTGCCTTCATGTCTGTCAAGTAGTTCATGAATGACAGTAGTTACGTGACCTTAGCAGCTAAAGCTCATGCTGACGAGTCTTTTTTGCATTGCATTTACGCGTTTTGGTGACCATGTCCCTAGGAATGTATAAAAGATGCTTTACAAGTCACAAGAGATGGAAAGAAAGTGTTGTTTCTCGTACGTGATCCAAAGTCGGTGACAAAACGACTGGCAGTGGCTGTTTCAAACCCTGCTGCAGCAATGTCGACGGAAATAGCTGCCAAGTGCTTGCATCATGTTCATTTTTGCCAATGTCGGAGTATCTATGAGTTGCTATGTGAGCTTGATCATGTTGAGAAGAGCTGGAGAGTGTGTGGGATATGTTGATATATTGTGCGCTATCAGGATGATGTACTGACTGACTAACATGAGATGGACCAGGCTGTAGAGGATACACAGAAGATCGAGCTCGTAGTGCTTGGACCGCTTTGTGTTTTGTTCGCAAGTTTTCAGACTGTTTCGGGAATGACAGTCATAGGTGCGCAAGTTGAATCTATGAGTTTGTGGAGATGAGGTTAGTAATGGTGAATCTCGTTCAGGTTCTGGGCTGAAACGGATGGTAGAGCTTGCAATCAAGCGCTTGCAGACAATGAAACGTATTCATGTGCGCATTATACGGTCTAAAAGTAGCTAATGCAAGTCATCCGGTGCTGGACAGAGAAAATGGCCATTTTGATGGCTAGTGTATGTGTCGTGCTATTCTACACCTACTTTTGTCAAATTTTTATCGCTTTTTATTTCGTTCTAAATAAATATCTGACCAATAATATCTAGATATATTCTTTTATCCAGATATTTTTCATCTTTTTTCAAGACAAGACTTGAAAAAGTCTAGTGTAGACAAGATATTGTTTCGATAATACAAGCAAATAGTAGAGGATATTCAATGGACATAAAGACGTTCAGTGGTCAGGAGTTCAACACTATCAATGGTGACCCGACGTCAGTAGTAAACGTTCGTCCTGCCGTTGACAAGGAGGCATTTCCGATGGAAACGATGCAACTATTGGATAAAAAGGATCTAACTCATCACGACATTATCACCAATCACAACCAGGAATCAACACACCTACCTATCAAGAAGAATATCACACAAACCAAGACATCGTATGTGGCACCCTCTATTGTCATTTTCTGGCTCACCATGTGGTTTTTACAGAATATTAGTGTCACATTTTGGAATAAAAAGGCATTGAGTGCATTACACTTACCGGTCACACTAACATTTGTCCATATGGTATGCAATACAATGGGTGCATGCCTCTATATTCACATTTACAAGGGTATTGAACGTCAAGCACTCAAACCGCAACAGCAGAAGCTCATGGTGTATTTTTCATTCATTTTTGTGAGCAATATCATTACTGGCAATTGGAGTCTCGGTCTCGTGTCAATTTCATTCAATCAAGTGTTACGAGCTCTTGTACCAGCCGTTGTGGTCGTACTTAGTATGCTTCTTCTACACAAAACGTACTCCTTGAAGCGTAAAGTATCACTATTACCAGTCGCATTTGGTGTCTATTTAGCATGTACGGGCGATAATTCGTACACGGTACTGGGCTTTGTTATTACGGTCCTGGCAGTCATTTTTGCAGGCTTAAAGGTGGTACTCTCGAACAAGGTACGGTATCTTTATGAGGTATCGATGGACCTATGTTGTTGTTGTTATTGTTAGTATTGCCTTTGTTGTTGTTGTTGTTGATGTGATGACGAATTGTGCTGGTATGTTGTTGCTGCAGTTCCTGACAGGAGACTTGAAGATGCATCCGGTGGACTTGATTTTGCACCAGGCACCAATGTCAGCTTGCTGGTGCCTTGTCACGATGTTTTTGACAGGTGAAGTCAAGACAATTATAAACAACTGGGAAACTGTGCCGTCAGCCAGTTTCTGGTTCATCCTGACCGGCATTATCAGTTTTGTGTTGAATGTTACGAGCTTTATGGCCAACAAGGTCACGTCACCTGTGACGCTGTGTGTATGCGGCAACATGAAGCAAGTGGTTGTGATTGTCATGTCCATTCTCATTAATCACGACGTGATCACCGTACAGAAGGCCATTGGGATTGTCGTTGTATCTATCGGTGGCGCAACGTACGTGTATATCTCAACAAAGGAGACAATGGGACAGGCTACGCTTCCTACGACGGCGAAGCCTAAATTGTAGACGCAGATACTTTCATACTGGCTGCCAAACAAAGCAAAATTGCCACGCTTGTTAGCAAGACTTCTCGATATTGGTGCGCATGAAAGAGCTTTAGGCACCAATTTTGAAAATGTAAGGGAAGAAAGATATATACCAAGTGGCCAGAGCCATATACGTCAGCAATCTGCTGCCAACATTCTAAAACGCACACAGGTACCAATCTCAAAGTGATTTTGTTTTATCTGCTGCGATGCTCAACACCCGCGCTATACCGTATCATGTCGATTCACTCAGGTGCGTTGCGGGCAAGATCAGAATATAATACTACCATTTACGCAAGGAGCGCAGGAACCATGGGGACAAAGACCCGAGGCAACAATTTGTCCATCACTGCAAGTTGCAAACCTTCAAGCTCCTGCTCATTGTCATTGTCCACTTGTACGTGAAGAGGAGCAGCAGCTTTGTGGACGGCATTCACCGCTACCTCCACATTACCAGACGTATTGAGCCACTTTGCTAGATATTCAAGAATCTCCTCACGCTGCTTCTTCAACGGTTCAGGCATGATTGAACTAGCACGAAGATCCCCGCAATGGCCACACATATTACACTTGGCCACATTTGCGATTTCATCGTCTGATAATGTGGCTACCACCGATGCCCGCTGCCATGGGTCGTCGCCGCCATTTGAGAAATAGATTCTATGACCTGGTGGGTGGTTTCCTCCATACAACTTGGTAATCTTCTCCACTCCTGCTGACAGATTTACTGCATCGCCAAAAATAGTATGGCACTGTTTCAGGTGGTATTGAAGATCCACCATTGTCGCGCGGAGACTTTTTTCCTTCGGGGCAACCTGAAAGTAAGCGAGCTGTGAGCACTTTTGCCATCGCCATGAGCGACCATCTCCCCATCGAGCGTGATCGTATGGCAGACACTCAGTGTCGTAAAAACAACTGCTGCCAAAAGAAGACCCGTACATGTCAATTGTGAAGTTGGCAAACGATTCAATCAACGATTTATTGCGTACAAAGGCACTGATCATGCTTCCGCATACAACATCCTTGTGGCCGTACTGCACAGCCATTGCTGCTGCATCAGCGATCATGTAGAAAAAATCCGCGTCTGCTAGATTTTGTGCGCCAAACAATTTCTTCGCCTCTGTTGCATTCCTACTGGCTATTTCCTTCTCAAACGCTGTCGTTGTAAGACGCAGGATCTCGGCACAGGAAGGAACGACCGCCATTGCCATTTGCTCATCAAACCGATGAAAGTGATAAATCGGCTGTACAACACCTGACGACGACAATAATGCTGCAGCTGTTATATCCGGGTAAGCAACACGAAACCAGGCTGATAGGGCTCCAGGATATGATCGACCAATGACAATCCACTGGTTTGCGTTCTCTCGACCCAATTGACGCTCATAACTCTCCTTAAAGTGTTTAAGATCTGCTAAAGCCTGTTGATCCATTAAGTATCGATAAGTGGACAAGTCTTCATTTGGAACACTTTGACCATAGAATCGATGTTCTACTGCCAGAATCTAAGACACAAGAGCACAAGAACAACAAAATGATTAGTATCACTCGCTTCCTCTCATCCTCTCGTCTTTTCTCCTTCACCTTGGCACCAAATTTCTGAACAGTTACAGCTACAAAACCATTAGGAGCTTGGGTAAATTTAACTTCTCCATCAATATAGAGAATAATAGGACCATTAGGCTTGGGCCAGTATTGATCCACTTGATAGTATCGTTGCTGGAACGTTCTATTGGTGTTGTTAGACGCCGAGTGATCAATCTGTTGACGAAACCAGAGCTATTGGACGTCCGTATGAAGAAAGACATGGCACAGACGTTTACCTTTGGCATGTGACGGGAATGTTGATGCACTGAGACGGGACACGGATAGTGCCAGTAAGAGCACGGTGACTATTATGATACTGAGAGGCTTACCGGTATGTGAAACGTAGTATCTGGCGTCGAAAACATTATCACAAAAATCACGTTAAAACTTGAAATTGTAGCGCTAGCAACTTTTATTCGAAAAATATATAAACCTAAATATTAAGCTTCGTTTGTATCGATGGAATCACTTTTCTCCAAATATTTCCTTTCCAAATCAAAATATTCATGAACTTGACAGAAAGTCTGACTTGATCACACACCATAAGCTCCTTCATCTCTGAAGTAACAACCAACGTCATCCAGCCCCTAGTATTGTCACTTGGTCTCGTTATCTGTCACCATCTACGTCCGTCGTGTCGTATTTAGCGGTGGAAAAAGGTTCTCATACTTCTTCCAAGCACGACGAGGCTGTTGTGATGTATATGTCTGACTTCGCTCGTTCACAGTGTCACGTATGCGTGAACCAAGCGATCTGCACAAGGCGTCAAGTGAATAGCTATCGGTGACACGATTTCCATGAGCAGATTGAAGCAGGGAACGAGGCAAAGCTGGTTGTTCGAACTGAGGAGACTGAGATCCATCCATACAATCTCTTTGCATTGAGAAAATGTCTTGTCGACGATGTCTTTCGAAGCGTGCGTTGTCATCCTTTGGTATCTGCAGCTGTGATGCAGGAACTGCTGCTTGAACCGTGGTGGAAGATGACTGATTGATCTCGGCGTTTGTTTGCTGACGACGACGCTTTATACCTCGAGACTCGACAGTTGAGAACCCGATGCGGCTGGAGGTAGGTCCAGCCAGTTCACAAGGACTCTGAACAAGTAAACAATGCGCTGCATGGTCAATCTGGAGGACACGATCGTGGGGGCAGAGAGGAGAAGCAGAACGGCTGCTATCATGTGCTAATATCTCTAGATTATCGTTCGAATGACGCATTGACGCCGGAATTTGACAATGAGCTGGCTCCGTTTGTTTTTCCGGTTGTGGCGTCACTGCTTGCGTAGACAGAGAGAGCGTTTCAAAGTTTGTCGAAGTCGTATCGTCTTGCAACGCCGAACTTTTCTTCGGAGTAGGTGCATCTTCAGCCCCTTCCTCACTTACAGCAACATTGACGGCCGAGCCTGATCCTTGAGTCTGGTCTCCACCGTGCTCTGCTGATCTAGGAGACACTATATCATCCGACAACATGCCTTCGTACTCGAAAGCATGAGCGTCATCGTCACTACCAACATTGTACTGGAGGACTACAGTTGCCTGAGACGACATGAGTTCCTCAGATTTAGCGGGCTCTGCTATTTTTGCCTCCCCCATTTCCGTTTGATCTAGCATTGGAGTGGCATTCTGATCAGTCGGATTGTCTGCCTCTTCAGCTGAAGACTGAGCGTGCGGAACTGATGCTGCGGAAGTGCCAAAGCCGACCATACGAAGTAAGCTCGTAGCCCAGCCCGCTGACGGCATTTGCTTCTTGGTTTGAGAGTGGGTCCTAGGTGGCGCTGCAGCATTGTCATCGACTTCATTTTGTGTGTCGTCAGCATCAGTCCTGAGATTTACCTCCTCGGTTGCCTTCTCCTTAGAGGCAGGTATTGCTATCGGGGCATCGTCGGACGAATTGCCGGTAAGATCAACAACTACCCATGAGCTTTGCGTCGTATTTGAATTCGTTGGTGCTGGATTGGAGTCGGCATGTGAATCTCTCCTGCGACTATGAGCTTGTTTGCGAGCTTTTGGTGTACTAAGCGTCAACTTCTTCGCTGTTTGAACTCCATCATACTCACTGTCTGTGTCACTGCTTTCCGAGTCACTACCCACCACAAATGTCTCTCGTATGTTCTCTTGCTGAAACGCATACCGTTGGCTGTCAGCCGGAGACGTCGCACACATCTCTTCACTCAACATAGTTGATGGGTTTTCGGACAATGTCGTCGACGTCGTCGCCGACGCCACCGATAATTCTCCCGACGACGTCATTGACTCCTGCATCGACAGCATCTTATCTGGCGATGTAGGATCACATATCACTTGAGATTCTGACATTGACATCGGTCCATTTTCTTCAATCAATTCCGAGTCTGTGACTTGTCTTGCAATGATTGCAGGTCGTCCCCACTCATCCTGCTTTTCCAATTCTTGTTCCTGGTCCTCCGGTATCACACAATCTTCTTCGACTAATGGTCGATCATCATGAAACATCGAGCCATTGTTTATTGTTTGAAGAGGTAAGAGTCCTTGAGTAATCATCAGTTGTTTTTCCAGCTCTAGATCATTCAATTTCTCCAATCTTTCGGCCACCAATGGATGTGTATCAACCCGTGGCAATGGCGTGACTGCCAATTCATTGTCCTCTACAATTGCAACACTATCAATCCATAAATACACTCGAGCTCTGTTCTTTCGAATATCCGGCACGGACACGGACGTTTCTCTCCTCCTCGCTTGACTCATTGCGATACAACGTGCTAGTGTCGCAAATTGATACTTCATCACGCGTACAATACTACCACGAAGCTTGCCAAGTGTCTCATAGCCTCGTTCTTGTTGTAAATACATAACCACATGATCCGAAATGAATGCATCAATTTCAACCATACGATCAACAAGTGTAATTGTCTCCTGAGAGCTATTCGTACGTCGAACTATCATCACACGTGATAATGATGATGATGATGCATAATTTATCGCCTCTAGAGCACATTGAGACTCGGTTTCTTCGCTTAAACTCTCGGAGAAACTATCATTATGTACATGATTCTTCGTCTTACTGCTACCACATCCTCCTAGAGCCACTAGTAGCTCCCGAAGAAGAAAGTCCGTCGTGAAGTTCATGCCTCGTATTGTCATTTTCATGGATTGCAAAATTCACCAAAACCAGATTATCGAAAACTTGATATTTCGACTACAAATTCAAATATTTGACTTTTTTGGGTTGGGTTTCAGTTAATTGTGTAACATTTGTGTACACGGACAAAAACTTCCAGGCAATAGCCAACATGATGAGCTGGAGTCGCGTCGTTGCGCGAGGATTTCACGCTGTATGGACAGCTCCTGTGGCTTTTTCTCATGGATATATGGGACTACGATCTAAAGCATGTGGGATACATCCTTTAACTGCTTTAAATGCGACCAAGAACACTACGGGATCACAATTTGTAGCTGGATCTGGACGGACCAGTGCGACTTTTCAGAGTAAACGCTGTCGTCTACTGAAGCCACGATCGGGGTTCTACGTCCTTGTTGGCAAAGAGAGAATGGATAAATTACTGAAATTGAAGCAGAGATATGGTGAGAGTTGCTCTTGTGTCGATAGATTACTTGATTTGATCGTAGTGAGTCAGGAATTGTATGGTGTTGGTTGTAGCTGTAAAGACGACGACGAAGAAAGCAGCAGAGACAGAAGCAAACAAGATCATTGCAGGTGCAGAAGTGGATGTTAATCATAGGCTACGTAATTCTCTGGTACGTATTCTTTTCTTTCTGAGAGTGAGTGATAAGTAGTAGTGGTACAAGTTATTTCTAGGACGTGTCAAGTACTTGATCACTTGATCGACTGCATTGTATTCACGCACCTTTTATTATTCCTCTGTGGTCTTGGTGATTTAAACGTTTAAGCATTGATATGATGTCTTGTGTATTGCACTAACAGGCGCTGCGTTTCAGTAACGAAAACTCGTACTTGAACTGGGCAAGAAACGGTGTCTTGTCGTCGGCTGTTGGTGTTGCAATGTACGCACAGGAACACCACCGCGGAGCACAACTAAGTGGCGCGGGTGAGTGAGTCTGCTGGTCGTGGATGGCAATGGCGGAGGATATTGTCATGACGGCGATTGCTGCTGATGCTGGCCAATTGTTTGCATCAATTGGATAGGGTTACTGTTACTGGGCTTCGGGTACATTGGCGTAGGCACGGCAAAGTATATTTATTATATTTTCCGCTTCCGCCACGTCATGGAACTGTCCTGGGCAAGCGTCTTCGGAACGATTTCCCATGCTGCATGGGGGTTAGCCATTTGGTTGACCGCCATTGCCTCCTTCCTGGTACGACCAGCACGTTGAAGTTCATCAACTCCTGAAAGGACCCACCTAATTGTTGTGCGTGCAATTTTTTGCTTTTTACTTTAATACCTAGGAAAGTGTGCCTCTTGAGCTGGATGCGATGCTGCTAACAGAGCCCATTGCAAGTTACCTGCCCTTTCGAATTCGTCAGGGTCTGATTGAGACGTACAGCCTCCACCTGGACGACCTCGAGCACCACTCTGACGAGCAAGAGCGTGTAATGCGTGCGATTCGTGGTGACCGGAGGACCCCAGAACTAGCCGACATTCAAGAGGGTGAAGAATTGCCACCTCAACTGGAAGCTCAGCTGATCGAGCAGAACCTGCACGCCGTCCCAGGCCCGGCGATGGTGGGCTCTGTTTCTCCCCCATCGTAGTCGTGTCCTGCCAATTGGACAGACACAAGAAACTAATGTGTGTGGTGTCGTGCTGGCTCACTGCCTCGCATATTCGAGACACTTGTCATGCGCTAACAAAGAATGTGTTCATTGGAACATAGCATGCGACGCCTCGAACGAGAGAGGAAGTAGCTGCATTTTGTTCAACCTGTTGTTTTTAATTTTCTGCATAGAGGTAAAGCCACATACTCCTGTATCCCTGCACTTGCAAGAACCTCCAAGTCGACAAAGCACAGTCTTGTCTTCCTTCATCCGTCGTAACATCTCAAGGCTTCAGTGCTTCTTCCAGCGGAATATCAAAGTCCGGATTACGGCGTATCGTCTTGCCGTCCCACGTGAGATTAATAGGCTCGTAAGCATCTTCACCCTTGTCAGCTTCAATGATAGGAGCTGCAACGAAAATATCACTCTCGGGTGATTTCGGCAGTGTCAGACCATGATCTACAAGACCCTTGAGCACGTCAAGAATCTCCTTGTCACTCTTACCAGGTACTGGAACTTTCTTCTCCACACCCCAGTCAAAGCGTGCGTACACAAATGGCTCCATCTCTTCTGCCTCACGATATACAAAAGGTGTAAGTGGGTTTAACATCTTGAGCTCATTGTAATTCTTGTGGAAGAAGGTCCTATACAAAAAGGGGTTACCACCATAATCACGGAAAACGTCAAAAACAAGATGAAAGCGTACGAGAGCTACAGAGCAAAGTGGACAAAAAAGAAAGCACAAGACGTACCGTAAGCCCGCACTGCTTTGTGAGGTATCACATGCAACAAAGCGTAGCTCCTGGATGCTTCGGGAAATCTGTGCACGCCAACTCATATCGTCACCGTCTGTCGTGGTGTGGGAGTTTGTTTATTTTGATGCGTCAGCGCCTCACAATTTGATAGGATATACCGGTATTGAACATTTTGAGCTAATTATCTGGATTGTATTTTCCAAAAGGATAATTGGATAAAACACATGGACTTTGTACATTTATTGCACTTATTGCTTATTATTGTATTAACTTTCACAGCTATTTTGGGTTTTGGTTCAATGATATCGAATACTGGTATCACGCATAGGCGAAGGCATTCAAGAGCTCTTTCTTTCAAATGGATATTAGCAAGTGAGGTTATACGCCACTGTCAATGATATCGATACTGCTACAATGGACGCTAGCATCTTTGCCTGCTCAGTACTGACCTGCTTAAGGACACCTGACGCACATTGGGCTTTGACAGATCGGGCTATTGCGAGGTAGTTAAAGTCCCACCACAAGCACTGCACCTCGTCGTCGTCTGTCCATAAAATCATGGTCAATATCATGCCGCGTCTCATTGAAAGACTTAGGTGCCTATGCCACATAGCCATCTGTATCACCGAGAAGATTCTTGGTCGCACAGCATTCCTTATCAGACAAAGCATGCATTCCTTGGTAGCTGGCAACGAAGAGTATGGCATCTCTATGACATCACTCTGTGCTCAATGAATCCACCATGGCGTAAACTGCCTCGATGCAAAACCTACCGATACTTCGGTTTAATTCCTCCTATGAATATCCTCACAGCTCATACGAACTCAACACGATCACGAAATAACACCATCTCTTTCTCCCTTAGCTACTAATATCTCCTGCATACTTTTGTCTCCATTGTGCTCTCTGTATAAAGCCATGTCGTCGTAAAAACAATTGTCTCCACGTCCACGAAGCTTTAAAGCATTCTGGATGCAAATGATCCTCTTCTGCTTCTTGTATTGCTCGCTCTGTAAGCTCCTTAGCTGACACAACGTGACCAGCAGCGTGTTTTTCCTGCATCCAGTCAACGATACGTTGCTCGGCCTCGGTCGATAACGTTGCACCCATACCAAACCTCCGGTCATTCGTCTTAATACCGCCACCAGACGCACAAATTGCTGCAATTTTACTTCGCTCACGCCGCCAGCGCATGATCAATTGCTTCTTAACGCGAGCTTGAGATACGGGAATATCTGGATAAAAGAACGCCATGGTCTCGTCTAGATTCTTGTGTGTTTCATAATGAGCTATAATCTCTAATTTACGCACGTAACTAACGGCTTCACGGCGTATGACGCGTGTTACAGGCTCGGCAACTGTATCAGTTGCACGTACGACTCGTGGACGTCCAGGCATCGCAAAGCTTGATGGAATAATGGATTTATTTCGCTTGAAAATATCACTCTATTTGGTCGCGTTAAAGGGATTTTTTTGCCGTTTTTTTTTGAAGTAGAAATACCATCAAGTCTACTAGTACTAAATACGGGATATCGATTTCGAGCACTTTCACTTGAATGGAAACAATACGATATATTCTCGCCACTGAATATATCATCAACCGCTTTGAAGTGATCGGTGATACAAAGCCCTTGAAACCAACCAAATGACGTCCTATCAAACTCCACTGCAACATAAAGCCATATTCATTTTATATAGCGGAAATCATAACATGAAAGACTCGGGCCTATAGCTTCTTCAACCACTAAACTCGACCTCGGACTCTCTCGGTGTTCGCCACATGCTCCTCGCTGCTAATTGTACAAACAAACCAAAGTCTTCTTTCTTCCTTCACCTAATCGATGGCTTGGAAAGTTAACAAAGCAGGCTTGGGCACATTGCGTAGATGTATCGTCGACCGCTCAAACCCGAGCTGGCGAACGTCCTTGTCTCCAATTGTGATCAGGATATCGCCCACGGCCACACGTCTCAAACCAGCACACGTGCTCTTGCCTGTGCGCTTGGTGATCAAGACCACGGACCCTTGCTTTGATTGCGCCTCACGCACAGTAAAGCCAAACGGACCATCCGTCCATTGAATCTGGTAGTACGCGTTTGAATCAATGTCAAAAAAATCCTCATTTCTTTGAGTCACCGCAGTCTGATAGTGCGGATATGACTGCTGCGATGACCACTGTTGATAAAACTGCTGTGGCGGTGATTGGTGGGACGAATCTTGCTGTTGTTGTAGTGGCTCTTGCTGGTACGGTGAAAGTGGCGGTTGTTGTTGTTGGTATGATTGCTGCTGCTGCAGTTGAGACTGATGACCATTGTATCCATAGCTCTGTCCCAAAGCATTTTGACCACTTGTCAAGTCCTCTCCTACTTGCAAGGATTGAGGTTGCTGCGCCTGGTGCCTACTCATACGCTGAGATTGAGACAATGTGAAGGAGCGATTATTACGTGTGCCTCGGTATCCAAGTAAGCCAGCCTCCTTCTCGCTAACAACGGAGGTACTGCGTGGAAGAGACGAGTAACTCTGCACAAATGCAGGTGAGCTAGCTCTGCCCGCAGACATTGCCGGGGACGAAGCTCGATTCGGCTGTGACGGATTAGCTGCAATATTTATAGCTGCCATATGTGCTGTCAGTGGTGACGAGCTCGCCACAGGTTTAGAAGGCGTACCATTCTTACTTTTGTTTGTGAAAGGTCGACGAAATCGAATAACCGCTGGTTTGGACACATGCATAAGGTATTGCATCGTTGCATGAAAACCATGTTCCTTGGCTGATCGATCGTTGACCAGGATAATCTCATCGCTCTCATGGACTTGTGCAAGATATTTTGAAGTTCCTTTCCCCGTAAATGACCGCACATAGGGCAATCCATTAGCAGATGTACCAATAACAAGTCCAAGCGGTCCATTTTCCCACAAAAAATCATACTCTCCTTCTCCTAACTCGATTCGTTGCGTCGGTAATTCCTCAACCAATGGTTTTCGAAACCGCAGAGTAATAGGCTTTGGTAATTCCTTGATAAAGCTAATAATATCCGAGATCGAATGATTACACGTTGGCGTTTGATTCACATATACCAATTCATCTCCGACCTTGACACTTCCCTCCAGTGCCGTACTATCGGCTTTACCGGTAAACCTCTTTACTACCGGTAATTTACTCTTCGGATCGGTTTTTAGGACAATTCCTAATGGTCCTAAATTCCATAAGTACGTATATTCATTAGGAGCAAGGTCTGGAAGGTCATCCTGAATAAGAGGTCCATCGGGTGAAACCTGTAATGTTAAACGAACAGGTCTTGGCACCGATCGCAAGAGTTTTGTTGCCTTATTTAGTCCTAATCGATAGACTTTATCCTCACCAATAGCAATTAATATATCGCCTGGCATAACGTCCTGTAATCCACTACTAGTAGTACGACGAGTGAGACATAAGACAACACCTCGATCAGATTGAACGGGTGTTACAGTAAAACCAAACACTACACCTTCTGTCCACTCGACTACATACATTTTACGCTCATCCAGACGTACATCAACGCCCATTTGCGTCATTTGCAGGGCGTCAATGGCGTCGGCCATAGTAAATTTGATAATATATATATATATATGTCAAGTGATCAAAACCTAGAACGAGAGTATGTAATGAGAACCTGTGAAAAATAAAGTTTAGGACCAACGTCGTTTGGTATATAATGCAAGTAGACAATCACTGTAAGAATCAATATGAATGATTGCGTTTTGTTGTCAATAGCGAATCAAACACATACGTTACGTTTAGAATTTCAACCAATCATTCTTCATTAAGTCCTTCCAACTGCAATAGACAATCCTTTCTGTCAGGGTATTTATTTGGCTAATGGCTACAGTTGCGCATCCGTATTCTGGTAGCTGCTTAGTCTCTTCTTGTCCTGATGTAAGCGTAAGACACAAAATACGAAGCCAAGTAGGCAATCCATAGCACAAAGAACGAAGCAACAAGAGCGTGATCGATTGCAAGTGATTGATTATGGTATAAAGCGCAAGAAAAACGTCATGACGAGCGCATAGAGAGTTCAGAAATAGGTGGATGAAAGCTTTGCACGAAGCAATCTACTGAGCCTCTTGTTTACGTGGTCCACCAAACTCTGTATATGTAGACAAGGTTTACGCTGAGCACGACAGTACTAGACTCGATTACTACTTGATGTAAATAAAGATGAGGCCATGCATGAGTCAGTCGGTGTCTCTCAGTCATTGTTGTTTATTGGAACAATGTAAAATCAATTAAAAGAAGGTATTCAACAATAACACTACCGTTACCGACAAAAAGAATTTACAGTGTGACCATTTCAAAGTCGATTCTTTCTTATATTTTACAAAACAACACTTTATAATAGCCCCTTATTACGTGTAATTATTTCATAATCTGAAACGACTAAAATAAAATTTAAACAATCATGCCATCCGTCGTACTCGCATGGCTCATTATTTTCAGTGCTACTGTATTAACTCTCGAGATTCAACATCAACTTCTCCTTGCTCGTATGCTTGGTGCAATTGTTATGCTCATAGCATGGCAATGTTTACTTCCATCTGCATTGCAGCTCAAGGCTGCAAGCTGCGCTATTGTGTACCATGGAATAGCGGAAGGTTTACGTCAATGGCAACGAAATTTTCCATGTGTGTTTGAGCATCGAAAAGACCGTAAAGTTATTTTGTGGCTGCTTTTCTGGGCACGAGTGTTTATCTGGGGAGCTGCTATTGGTGGAGTTGCGGTCTTTGTGACTTTATTGAGAGATCCAGAAGAAACAAGGACAAACCCGCTTTCGTGTTGGCAAGAAACTGCAGCTCTGGCCTTGTACTATGAGGTAGTAGAAGTACTAGTGATGCTCTACTTTTCAGACAAACCGTTGCCATATTTATGGCACAAACGTATTGGTCATTGGCTCGCAGCGCTGTTTGTGGGGTTTCTGGAGACTACTGGACGACTTGACACAGTTCTGCGCAGTTCGTTGTTGGTTGAGATGTCGCCCTTGGCTCTTGTTGTTGTACTGCTCATGGTCATGTGGTTGTCGATTGAGATTCCATGGGATCAGATTGCAGAAGCGAGCAGTCCATGCTTGGCTGAAGAAGAAGAACATGATGAGATGGAGGAATCTGAACGAAATAGAGAAGTGGCAAAGTATCCGAGCTCTTTCAGCGGAGTAAATTACATCTCTGGACTGTTCCGTGGATAAGAGTCGAGAAAGCGCTTTTTGCCTTGGATGCTTGGAACTATTAGTACATTGCTCTCATGAATGTATGGCTTTGCTATTTATTCACTTGATCAGACTTCAGAGCTGCGTGTTTTCATTTGCTGCCTCCAAGTAATTGTAGTTGCGATGAACTATCAGAAGTTTACAAGCCCTTCATGTCCTTGTTTCCACGAGTCTCATATTGAGTATCACAAGAAATACTTCACTCTCTTGCATCATCATCGACATCAAAGATCGAGAGCCAGATAACGACAAAACAAGGTTCAAGACCCGTCCATTGACTGCATCCTCTGGGCATTCGCTCTGCATTTCCCTCTATTCCATATCCATACCGCTAATGTATTGCTCCTGTTTAATTGCTAGAGGCTTGTATACTGTCAATTGTTACATACATTACACACAAAATACATTGCGCCACCGATTGCGCAAGACAAGAGAAGTAACATGCAGTTCTGGTTAGCAACTACTTCATTTATCAATGGGCGTTATACTATCGTCTTACATGTCACATGTGCTTCATGCGCGACTATTCGTCAACTCAAAGTCAGATGTTACGCGCTACTGTATTTTATCCAATCATAATTCATAATTGTAACGCCTCAGATTTTTGTGGTGGACATTGACAGCGTGCGAACGAGCAGTCATGGGCAAGGTACGGCACGTCTTCTCGGCGCAGCACGCAGGAAGGAGGCATGATGAGCTATTGATACAATGCATGCGTAATCACATGCATTTGCAGTATCTAATGATGCCCTTTTCATCGAAATGCACGCTAAAATAGCCGAGTTATGACAGTTGAAACAGAGTATCAGGACATGTAAGCTAACAATGTTAAATTGATGCAGGGAAAAGCCAAGAACGTAGTGGTCAAGATGTTGAGTGCTGCGGGCACAGGGTGTGCTATTGTCACTGTACTGTATGATATAAATTCTGTCGATTGACTCTGGCGTGGTTCCATGTGACAGGTTCTTCTACACTACGACCAAGAATCCACGCAACGTCACGAGAAAGCTCTCACTCCGCAAGGTAGTTTGGTCGTTTCATTCCTATGTGTCTAGTCTGGTGACAATGGCGGCTGCGCTTTATGAACTAATTGCGTGTCCTGTGACTGATGTTGCAGTATGATCCGATTGTCAGGCAGCACGTGATTTTTAACGAGACAAAGATCAAGAAGGGATAAGTGCTAGATGCAATCCATCTTCCTGCACGTTTCCGTTTTTAGAGTTACCATCATACCAAGAGTGTCCATTGTGGTCACCTTTAGATATCATGGGCCTGTTGCGCGGACCACTTACTGGTAATAAATGGCACTACATACGTCCAGCTTGTGATTGTAACTCTCGCATATTTTACAATCATTGTCTACAAAAGGCGTCGGCCTTTGATCACAGATGTACTGCACACGTCAATGTCATTAATTGCAGGAAACTCTACACGATCAGGGAGATTTGCGACAATCAAATCGGACGGAGCTGCTGGCTCAGGGCTTTCACTGAAAAACTCGTGCTCGAGCGCCTTGCGTGCCGAGATGCGCTGCTTTGGGTCTAGTTTCAGCATTTGAGATAAAAGGTCAACGCCAGCAGCTGACAGCATTGAGAACTGCTCCGTTAGCGGCTTTGGGTTTGTGTTTTTGAACCGGAGATAAAACGGCAACTGAGCAGCTTCATTCCATCCGTTCTCAAGTGGGGATCCCAAGACGGCAAAGATCTTGCTCAGCTGGTCAATGTCCGAGGATCCATCAGCCAGCGGGCGACGCAACAGCATCTCCGCAAAGATACAGCCCACGGACCACATGTCGACCTCAAAGCCATAACTTTCTTCGCCAAAGAAGATCTCAGGTGCTCGATAGGCTCTTGTGACCACTTGCACTGACCTCTTGGTTTTAGTATTCACCGATGCTGCATCTGTATTTGCGTCTTTCTCATCACTTTCTTTCTCAATTGCCACCGCCATACCAAAATCAGTGATTTTAGCGCAATGCTGTGTCTTTGACAGCAACAGATTATTAGGTTTCAAATCACGATGCAAAATTCCTCTCGAGTGAAGCTCGTGTACACCAAGTAGTAGCATCTTCAAATAAGCCTTCACCTGGGCTACATCAAGCGTCGGTACACTCTCTGTCGCGCTAATTAACGTCTCTAAATCGCTGTCCATATATTCTAAAACCAAGTAGAGCTTCTCATGGCACTCTATGACCTCCAATAGCTACAATAACAAGCCACCACATACACGTCAATTACAGCATATCATAACTAGTCTATTTACCCACTACCCATCAGCTAGCAACGTACCTGGACAATATAAGTAGCACCTCGACATGTAGCAAGAATATCCGCTTCCTGTTGTCCTGCGTTCAATGGTCCAAATATTTTCTTAATAGCAACACGCCTATGAGACGTAGTATGATATCCAAGATATACAGTGCCATAGGTACCACGTCCAATCTCTTCGTGTCTCTCGTACGCGCCCAGACGCTTCCGTACTTGGCTGCCCATCCGGGACGTTGTGTCTTTCTTGTGCTATTTGGATGTATTGTCTCATATATATCCAATCAGATTAAAGCTAGCATGTATTTTGATATTCTAGCCATGTAATCAACATAAAAATACAGCTCAAAGCCAGTACAAAGTTACTGGCCTACTAAGTATGTATATATGTATGTATGGTAGAATGCAGTTAAGAACTATTTGCCTAAAATAAAGGAATAGCAATAGAAAGAGATTAAGACGAAGGAGAGGGAGGGAGTGACTGAGAGACTAACTGAGGGACTGAGGGACTGGAAAGTCGTTCATTCTCCTTTTTCTAGGTTACGAACCATTTTCATTTCGTCACCTCTCCCTCTTTCATTCCCTACCGACACTTTCTTTCTTCGTCTCTCTCTCTCTCTCGGTCCCTCTTCTTCTTATTAAGCGATAGAGAGACGACATCTACACACTCACATACATTTTTACCCACTCACTTACTCATCCTTAGTTACACGTGCCTCGATCGTACTATGAATGAAACAGCAGCAATTAAATGTGTCCGGTGGTCGACTATAACTGTCTATGAGTTTGGTGTGACATTAGGTGGAAGTGCTGTTCCTCGTCGTGGTGGTCCATCCATTGGTCTTGCACGTAAACCACAACATGTATGGAGTACAACACTTGAAAAGGTCCGACGTTGTGGAGATTTAGCACTGACACGACCAAATGATGTCAGTTGTTGTCATAAAGAGGAGGGGGGGAGGGTGAGGAGGATGACAACGTTTTTATGGAGCAAAAGGACACTGCAGATTACAAGAATGACCGACGTAAACGTCGTGTACAACGTGCTCGGAGAGTTCGGTGGTTGAAACCATTGGAACGTATTACAATGTTGACAAAGGCTGGATGTAGTGAGAAGCGAATCTATCGTATGATGATGGAGAGTTCAGATATTGCCATGTCTCGAAGGTTGTGTATCTCCATGCAGCGTCAAGTGGCAGTGTAAAGGGGCAATATAGACTTGTTAGTGGACAAGAGTGTACAAGATGATAAAGAGCTTGGATGATTGGTTACAATGGATGACGGTGTTGTTTCATTCATGTTACAACATGCTCAATAGATGAAATGGAGTCGAGTATGGAGGACAAAATGGATGATGATTATTTACTGAGTACAAAGGTGTTGTATTCACGTCAGTTGAATGTGTTGGAGGAGTAAGCAGCCATGGCACTATGTAAGCAGTGAAAGCAAGGTGTCCATGGACTTGTGTCGTTTCTTCTTCACACTGTCTGATTGAGGTGAAAAGCTTATGAAACTGCTTGAACTACTACTTCGTATTATGGCAGTTTGCCACATAGGAAGACAACAACCAATCGTGCAATAGCGCGTTCAATAAAGCCTCATAGATGATCATGTTATATAACAGCCTTCATCTTTGCTTCTAGACTCTTACCTCGATCCATTTCAAGTCTTCTTCATTGCTCCATCATCTCTGACTGTAGCTCTACTGGCTGTGGTATCCTGCTCCTGACGTCGTTGCCACGTGTGAAACCAAAATTCACGCCATGACCCAACGAAGACCACACTGACTGATAAGAGCTGTTTACGACTGAACGACGCTGGACAACTCCATGGGCATACGGTAAATACAATCCTCACTGTACTCCGTCCCCACGTCCCAGTAGCGTAAGCCAGCAAACACATCTTCATGATGTTGACAAACAGCAGCGACATGTGCGCCATCCGTTGCTGTGAATCCTCACAGACTGCCAAATTCACATGGCAATGCGTGACGAGGTGCTATACACGTTCTCCGGCATCAAAGCTCGTCCACGGTCCACTAGGTGGACGCACATGCCAAAGTCGAACACTCTAGATCGTCATGATCGCGGCTGCTGCGGGATAGGAAAAACAAAAGAAAATGCCCAAAAGGCGCCGGTCGCCGCTTGCGACTCGACTGTATGTAGCGTCTGAATTGCTCCTGCTCTCTCATCGCTTCCTCACGACCAAAGGATATAGCGGATCTCATCCGGCTTCAACTGAATTTGCCTTCTGGTCACCGTCGTCCGCTTGCCCTATCTTCGTCCACACTTTAGTGGACGTATCGCGTTTTCTGAAACTCTCAATGTGCATAAAAGTCACAATGAGCAGCAGCAATCTACACTAACTACATCATCCATCGATTATATATTATAAGACTTACAGTATCGAGAGCCGATAACGCACTGCATGCATCCACCGTTGATCTCGAAGTCAATGTCGAATCGAAAGAATCCACTCATGTTGTCCATTTGGTGAGATCACTCATCTGTATATACCGTTTTCCCATCTGGTGTTGATGATTGCACCTGAACAGTTCTATGCATGAAAAAAAAGGTTGCAGAAAGGGCGTGCCAACAAGGATGAGTTTGCTCAGAGCAAGTAGGACGTAGCGCAAGTTGTGGTCCGAATGGTTCAAGCAGGGTGAGTGCATGGAACTATGGACTCAATATGATCATTGAATAGCTCTATGGCAGTAGAATACGCCTTATTCCCTACAACAAATACACTAATATTGAACCGAGACGTCGTTTTCGTACTTCCAGTGACATACAAAATGAGTTTGAAGTGCCTCAAAATGCCACACCGACACCTTGGGGATTAGTAACGCTAGCACAAAGGCAGAGGAATTCATGATATTAGTCTGTCGTGAAGAGGGCACGATTCCTTGCCGTTCTTCATGTCAGCAGTCTCATCGGTAAAGGCAACAGCCGTTGGCGAGGGCGTATATGACAAGACAGTGATTACTGAACCAGATACTGCATCAATGGCTGGATTGTCACCGACAAAGACAGTCTTCATGACAATGGCAAAATGTAGTATACAAGCCACTAGACATGTAGATGAAGGCATTTGATGACAAGATCATAGTTCATACATGTATGCAGCTTATCTTGATAGCAATAGATACCAATCTGTACTAGTAATAACGATTAAATAGCTTAGCCCTCGCTCCTTTCTACGATCGGTGCAAGTGATCGACTGACGCTTTTCCAATGATGCGCTGTATGTGTGCAAATCACCCCGTATCATACATCCTCTTTAGTGATGGCTTGTTTTAGTTTGCATTGGTCTTCTTACACGTAATTGATCGGGATCACATGCGGGCGATTGAGGACAGAGGAGGAACACGGACGCTCCAACACGGAGCGAGACGATTCAATCTGCAAGCGACGCTGTTTCTTCGCTTCTTTGCGCTCGGCAATACCCTCCACAAGCGTTCTACGACGTGAGCAATTGATGATGTTTGCTTCCCGCGTGAACCGCAGGATCATACCCTCACTCACGCCAGCGTTCTGCAACAATTGCACACGCTCGTCGGATGTAAAGCGATGTACGCCCTCAACACACTCCGCCATCTGTCCCACCTTAGTAGTCCATGTAAATTCAGGCTTGTCACTCAGACCAATGGACGGACCACCCTTGCCAGGTACAGTGCTGCCACCCAGTCCGACACCAAACTCGTGGATGGTGATAGTGGACCAGCGCAGACGCTTCTTAACCTTCTTCGACGAGATCTCACACTCGTTCAAGATGAATGAGCTACGCTGTCGCTTCTTGTGTCGTACACATGAAGCAGACGCAGCTTCGGTGCATATGGAGGAGACAGTGGCAATGGACCTCTTGGGTGTCGTCGAACGCGTCTGAAACTGCTGCTCAGTCGTCGAGACTTGTGTACCTTCATATACATCTTGTGATTCCTTTGGTGCCATGATGTATAAGTGGAAGGGGATAATGGAAGGTGCGTGTTGAATAGTGATAAGAGCTTGCTACAATGTGCTTTCGTCTGCTTTGAGTTGTGCTACTGCTGGCTGTTTTGATTATAGTTGATTTTTTTAAGTGTATCTCGAGGAGCGGACGGCGGGCGGACACGGCCTGTCTGCGCACATGCTTTGCAATGTTCACAAACCCACTTTTCAGCAGTGGACCGTTCCCCTACTCACCGTCCGCTCTAGCGCCACCAACCAGCCCCAGCCCAACATGTCTTTCTAGCAAACGAACGCTCTGACCCCTCGAACTACCGACGTACAATAATGACTCGAATAGTGTTCTTGCTATTGTAGTACGAAGGAGTCATTGACCGTAGGAGAGAATAACACATTCATATACTTGGATATATGCTCACAACAACAACAACAAACGGCATGTCGGTTCAAGTTTGCTGGTCGTTTCACGATGAAGCCGGAACAGTACATGTATTTCTCGTAAATCAGTTCTGTGTGTACAGATCGACTTTCTCCTAGCAAATGGCGCAGGCATCGAAGTAGCAGACGACAAATGACATGGCGCATAGCTCGATGAACGCAAATCTGTTCATTGAAATTGATTGGTTTGCTCAATGCTGTGGTGCTACGAACTGTCTTTTCGAGGTCCAATCATAAGATCGGTGAGGTGAATGTTCCCACGCACGACACTCGCGTTTCAAGCAGTTAATTACAAACTAATAATTCATATGCCACAGACACCGCAACATACACTGACTGCATCGGGTCCTATTACACCAAGATCGTTTGTGTCGTAGCTATCTGTACACAAGACCGACCATCATCCATAGCTGATACGTTCACTCTCTCCCAGTCTTGAGCACTTGGGCCACTGTCGCGTACAAAATCAAACATGACCAGTACGTTTCCAACGCTAAAAGCATATGAAGGATGTCGCGCATCGTGGTGTGGTTTTCGAACACGAATGAAATGCAGAAAACGTTCTCATCCATGTGATGCCGTGGTCAATCGTAAAATAAAAACGTATCCGATCCTTGACTGCAGCACAGTAAAAATAGTTTTGATTTCTGGATCTCATTGCAAGTAGCAATGTGTTGGTCTTTGTGAGTCAAACGAACAAACACAATCAACACGAATCTACGCTACCTACATATATGCGTAATATTACACACAACTAACTAACTGCCTACTGACGTGTCGTGAATGTCAAATTCTGAAGTTCGTGTCCCATGTGACGTGTGTATACTTGATTACTGTAGGCACTTGCAAAGTGTACATCAAGTCAGTCCTATGTTTATACAATCCGTGTAGTGTATGTTGTATTAACAACACAGCATAGAAAAGTAAAGATTACGGTAAAGAGTAACAACAGCAGGCAAGATGCTGCAGAAAATGACTCAATTTAGCTCGCACATATTTCATTAAAAATGTACTTCATGCACCCTATAAGACTTTTGCTCTGAAATGCACGCCACTATGAGATTTAATCTACTTAAGCCATCCACTCGATTCGGTGACGCGCTTGAGAATGCTGGGGGGGACGAAAAAGGTGCCAGAACAGTTCCGATACCATGCGACGTGTGCAGTACTAGTGTTTGTAAGTGGACGGAGCGGAAGGTTCTGTGAAAAAGAAATTGAAATTCTTGAGCGTCCATTACACGCATGAATCACTATGCGAGACTCCTTGATGCTCTGTCGTAGATCTGGACTCGACAGCACTATTACGCGACATGATGATTAATTAATCGCTTGTGCAGTTGATCATCATTTCTACGATCAAGGTAGGACGATAGCGATGATATGACTGGCACGCTTGGTGCGGTTTCGGAGTGCAGCATAGAGATCTGACGAGCGAGAAACATGCCTGGACTTGATAGATTCCTTAACAAGGCACCGATCAAGCCTTGCCGAGCGGTCTGCTTTGAGTGTTAAAAGCCGTGCATTTGTGCTGAATAGTCGAAGAGTCCTTACGGCACTGGACATGGTGCACTCTGTCGCTGGGGCCCAAGCAGTTCGAATCTGCCGCTCGACGAAATGCGCGCAGGCTAAACCGTAAAAATCAAGGAGGTGGCTGGTCCATATCATTTGGTGCTGATTCATTCATTACGCTTTGGCTTTCGTGTTGTTTTCAATTGTTTTCTGCAGTATTCACTTGATTAAGTCAGTTTATACATTGGTAGTGTCTGCAGATGCTTGCACAAATGCTTTGTACGCGCTTGTTAACTCTCCAAGGGATAAATGCAGCAGTTTCATTGATCAGATGAATGATAGTCTCAATTATCTGTGCATTTCAAACATAAGCACAGACATACCACACTAACTTCCTTGCTATCCATCTTCCCATTGTTATACTCGGTTCACTTGGCTTTCCTTTCGCTACTAGTAGTGTCTCTCACCTAGTACTGCCCCAGACAAAGTCGTTTTGCAGTCTCTCGGTTTGTATGAGTCTCATCTCGAATAAATTAAGCCCGTCAAAGTACGTTACCTCAGCAAAGGATGAACGTAGATGACCCAGAACGTGGCAAGAGCTGCTCATAAGCAATACAGCTGCGTTAGCTCACAGCTATGCATAGTTGACCGGAATCATGCGTGGCCTCCGCAAATAGACAGAGCACGGCTGCCCCAGCATTGCCTGATCTGCGCTTCGCTTGCAAAGCACCTCGTTGGTCGTCCCCTCCTCTTCTTCCTCGGACTCTTCCAAGTCGCTGTCGTTCCAGTTCATCTTCGACCGACGACGAGAGCCCAAGATGATGCTGGCTTCGCGTGCGTGACGAGTGATGATGCCATCCGGGATGCCAGCGGCCTGAAGCAGGCGGATGCGCTGGTTGGGCGAAAAGCGATGCACGCCCTCAACACATTCGGCCATCTCGCCCACTTTCGTCGTCCATGTGAACTCGGGTGTATCTGCAAGACCAATAGACGGGCCGCCTTTGTTGGAGACGGCGCTACCGCCCAACCCGACGCCAAACTCATGAACGGTGATAGTTGACCACCTCACGCTTTTCTTAAGCTTTGCGATTGTCGCTTGATTGACGCTGTAACGACAATCATTGCTATCATTCTCTTCCTCAATGCAGGGCGGCTCTGGCTCCACAATAACAACATTATCAAGGCAGCCACGTTGTGCGTCGGTAGATGCTCCAGCAGTGCAGTCGTATGCTGACATGATGGCCTCTGTTGTCGTATGGTGACAGTTGTGCTGGTTATAACGACCAGTACGTGACTTGCCGTTCGGAAAACTCATTGCTCGCTGATTTGCTGCTGCTGCAAATAATACGCGACACACTTGAGCTGCTGCAGGGCAAAATGACAGAATGAAGCGACTGTCGTTGGGTTTGCGTGAATGTGGACCGGACACTCCCTCCCTCCACTCTGCGTCCGCTATTTCGTCCGCTAGTCGAGTCGCAAGCTCGCGCTAAGTACGCGTTTTGTAACTCTAGCTTGTTGTCCTTGAAGAGGCGCTGGTCATCGAGCAATGTAACTGCCGCTTAAGCGAACTGACACAACGACTTTCGCACACTAAAACACAAGCCGAAACGCCATGCATTGACCGACTTGGTGTGTCACTTTCAGAAGTTGGGCCTCAAGCCTTTACTAAGTCTACATACAGTAGTCGATTAATATGGAAGAAAGAGACGACGGGCCATGTCGGATGCCCTGTGCTTAGTCCTGATCTAGTGATCCGCTGAAAACAGCTGCTGCGTATTGAAACGACAGCCTGTTATTCTTAATTATGACTCTTCGTCAATACCTGCTAGACCTAATATTCAAGCTAGAATGTCTACTATATGATGAGCAAGCTACCGTCACCGGACGCAATCTGAGTGATAACGAGCAATTAAGAATCAAGAGTTGGCATCTGCTATGAAGATGGGCAAAGTAAGCGATACACATGTTGTTGTGAAGAGAGATGTAAGCATTGGTAACTCAAGTTGTTTCGTCCCAGCTGTTCTGTGTTGGACATCAGATGGCTTGTGCCATGTTCGGGACGACCCTATGACAAACCTACAACAGATACTTGTATTCAGTCTAACTAAGGTAAACACACTAGTCAATGCCAATCAGAAATTAACTTTTGCAGGTACATCTACTGAGCAGACATATTTGTCCGATTATGTTTGACAACATGATTGCCTACTTTATAAAATATACGCGGTGTGTGACGCGCCACTCTCAGAGTGATGGTCCCTGCGCTATTCTGGGTTTTGCCGGCTCTAAATCTATGTTGACGCAACGTGACATAGCGTTGCAGATACTACAGCACCGAGTGATTCAACAGAGAGACAAGGCTCACGTTTTACTGCGAATATCTTACTACGTTGCATCAACATCAACGCAGTTTCACCAACACTGTATTGATGCCGCAACCGCTAAGATTGAAATGTAGCCACCCTGACACACCAAGATGGCTACATATTAATCTCACAGAACTCTATAGCAAAACAAAAGACAATCAAACGCTCTTGTGTGAAAATGCTGCACCTCTAATTATGTAAAGTGATTCACGTGCTTTTGTTGCATCGAAGGCCAATACGTAGCACACAATCAAACAATTGTCAGGTTGAAAATGAGCAACGGTCCAGAACGAGAAGAGTAACAACAACATGTAGCTGTTGTAAACTTGAATTCTGCCCCACGCGTTCTGTTGGAGCGTTGGTTTGACTTTCAATGCACCTGAAGTGGCAGATCAAACGGTGTCAATGAGCCTGAAATTGAAAGGCAGTTTGTTGAAAACAGTGAGACGTACGTTGTGCATCAAACGGGTCGTGAATACGCTTATACTTTTGTGTCAGAAAAATCGATGAGAGGAATGTTTTGTTCAGTGTGCTGCATGTTCGAGTGCAGATCAAGTATCGAGATGCTCAACGTTGTTCGTAGTAGACTAGATATCGAGCTATCGGCGTGGAAATAATGTCAAGATGGATGGCGATGGATATTTGTGGCCAAGCTTCGAGTCTCTTGTCCTCAAAAATTTGGTGTTTTTCACAGGAAAAGAATTTTTTTCGACGGACACTGGTCTAGCCTTGTGTGGCATCGTGTGATGCTAATGCTCTCGCACTGCGTTTACAATGCATAAAACACAACTGTCGGAAGCCTCAGGAAGATTAGCACTACGGTGCAGTCACCGTTAACAGTATAACAGAGTCCGCGGATAAATTATATAGTTCAACAACCTAAATGATAACGAGATGGGGAGTGTACCGTAGAACTCAGCAGAAACACACATGACTACAGATATTCACCAATGATGTGAGAACCAAGTCAACACACAATCAAGAACTCCGTCAGCGTGTGTTAGCATCAGATCACCCTTTTCGTTACCTTTGTATGTGCTGCCTTAGTGATCCAATCCATGAATCCTTAGCAGCATGTACACATACCATGAGCAATTGAACAAGCTAGAACACTTACACCTTGTACTTCGTAAAGCAAAAGGATCTGGAAAGCTATCAGGTAGACATTCATCCATCCCATCTGGCCCCACACTTATCCACACGTCACTTCACGAGTGAAAATCACCACATCCTAGTGCAAAAGTTTCACACGCCAACAGCGCAAGTCCCAGCAAAACCGACACATGAGGCCCAATGACATCAATAATATATGACAATAATAAGAACCGAAACAGTAACACAAGAGATTTCACCATAGAAATGAAGTAGCTGCTCACAAAGATGTTATTGTGGTATTGCAATATTGATTATTGTGATATTGCAATACATATATATATATATTAGCTTGTGTTTTTATGGCAATAGACGAAAGACAAGCAAGAAACTTTGAGAATTGACAAAACATGGACAAATGGTCTCTCTAAACGATTTGCTAGATGCATCAGACCGTTGTTATCGAAACTTGACGATGAGATCAAACATGATACAAAAATGAGCGTGTTGCTAATTGTATTCTTGTCTGTGTCAATTGCTATAGGTAATGCTGTAGAAATGTAGACGAATGCACTTGGTGCAAAAGAAGTAGCAGTAAAAGTAACATATATTTATTGTTTACTTTGTCTGTCAACACTACAACATGCATTCGCTTGCACTGCAGCTTAATCAGATTAAAGTTGCACAGGTCCTATCTGCCCTGGCTCTCATAGAAATCACGAAGCTGATGAAAGTAGTGAAATCCCAAGGTTGTTGTCGGCCAAGGAAACAATAGGCGATGCTTTTATTGGAATCAATACAACCGACGTCATTTGCCTTGTTGATCTAATTTAACAGCATGTTGTCCATGTAACTTACGAAAAGAACAAGCTGTGATGGATGTGGTGCTCAATATGAAGCTGCGCAATTTCCGTACAAGGTAAGGTCCTGACAAAGTATCAGCAATAGTCCCTCTCAATACTCAATAGCTGGTAAAGCACACAAACCGTGTTCAGAAATCTTGTCGATTCTAGTTGAGATGCTTAAGAATGTTGAATGCGTCCTTCTTATATACCTCCCATCAGGTTCTTGCCAATCTCTGTCTTTTCTCGCATCTACCAGCAAGCTTGCTGTTTAGAACTAGCAACTTTCCAGCATCGTCCTACCACGTACTCAACCAAAAGTTTCGAAAGGAGCTTTCCAAAGGTACATTCCTATCCTCAACGGGCCAATTCTCCTAGCTCTTGAACAGCACCCACTTGTAAGGCTGAGTATTTACTGCATACTATTACAAGCCCTCGCCATCTTTAATTCTCAAGTCTTTGATTACGATCACAGATAGTTCCCTCAAATTATAGCGCTTATCCAAAACGTCAACCAGCAGCTCAAACCCATCTAACCTTTCTGGCGTCCTCGACGAAGACAGCACCTCGCCTGCGCTTTTTCAAACTTAAGCGACTCTGGATTCTTTGCTTTTAGCAGCAAATTTCGCAGCCTCTTATCTTTATAGCGACTTGTCAGAAATGACACCGTGGCGATTTCTTGTTACAAGTACAGCTTACAGTCTGTCTGCCGGGATTCCTCCCGTGCACGTGGCTGAAGTACTACTGCCACAAGGCAAGTGCCTAGCGAACCTGATACGCACTAGTGGACTCTCTTTGATAAGTTAGGGCGAGCTTAAGTAAGTGTATGATTAGAGGAACATTGCACATATAAGTGCTGTCCAAGCTAAATCTCAATCGCTTATGGATTTCCTACTCTGCTCATTCGCATCATTACAATTCTTCTGCCATCTTGCTGTCGCAACTGAGAAATTAGTCACCGCCTCTGTCCACTCTCGACATTTGCCACTTGTGAGAAGCTCGTCGGCATTGACAGTTTTGCAACCCATAAGTTGCGGAGAATGTGACTGCGGCGCTCTGATCAGGATTCTCGATGCATTAACGGTTTTGAACGCGTCATGACCAAGTACGAATCTACATGTTACGCGTGTGGGAGCTTTGACGGTGTGTGGACCCATTCATAAACTTTGGTCACCGTCTCTATCGCTTTGCGTAAGATACAGATCAAACTGATGTAATTCTAGAAGATAAGTTCTAGAAGCTTCAGCTTTTCTTGGTGCGCTGCCACGATCGTCAGACTAGCATAGTTTGGTCTTCAGCTAAGACAATCACAATTCAGTTTGCATCTTTTTGTTGACTGTTGACTACAAAGTATACTTTCTAGACGAACCAATAGTCGCGACGAGAAGAAAGCGGAACGACCGCTGCAAGACAAGTCGGCCTGCAAGGTGTACCGCCAAACCGATGAACGTAATGACTGATGATGCGGTGGTGTAGAAACATATCTACCTTATCTGTATTTGAAGTAGTTCAACCGCCAAGTCTACGCCTGGTCCAAACGCCTGGTGTCGTGATGCGACAGCGCTGCCAGTATGAAGCCAAATTTGCAAACTGTTGTGGCTAGTAGTACGACCACGTTGTCACTTTTATCTGCAATTCGATCGAGCCGCGCTTTCTCGATCACCTCGCTCGGTTTGTCTTGAAGAAGCAGACAGCGTCAGTGACAGAAGAAGATCTGGGTCTGGCGATTACGCGGCGTTGCTTATCGCTCCAGAGTCGTCACATTTCCGGCATTGATCAATTCTTTCACAACCAGCTCAAGATGGATTTAAGAATTGAAGTTACTGAGGTGCGCATTTTGAACTGCTTTGTTCTTTTCGACAAGATTTTTGATGCAGTGGCCGAGCGAATGAGCCACGTACGCAGAACGTATGAAGCTGTGCTGCAAGATGATGCTGAAGTACATTGTGCCCAAAATGGAGCGCCTGGTCATTGCGACACGTGTACTTGAGAAGGATGATATCGCTCTATATGAA